ATATATATATATATATATAGATATAGATATATAGATAGATAGATAGATAGATAGATAGATAGATAGATAGATAGATAGATAGATAGATAGATAGATAGATAGATAGATAGATAGATAGATAGAAACAGCACCTTTTATATCAGTGAGTTATTTTGATGAAATTGCCAATGTCTGATATTTTATCGCTAATATCAGCCGATACCTATACCATGCTGATAATATTGTGCATCCCTATTAAAAACATTTTATTTTCATATACTGGGTCCTTTAGTTTCTTTACAGTATAAATAACCAGAATTATTCTTCCCATTTTTATTTCCTGTGCGTTGATTATTACTGTTGTTGTGTTTCCAGTGGTCCAGCCGGCCTTTTAGAGGGAGTAACCAGCAGGTTTTCCACACCGTTTGAACTCGCTGAGGTAATTTATTCATTTTATCTTGAAGTTCTAATTGTGGCATCAGCTGAAACGCATGTTCAGTTTGCACTAAGCAAGTCAGAAACACCCAGATAACCTTATCAGACAGAGATCATCGTGACGTAGACCCACGATGAGTCATTCTTATGTTTTGTTCACCTTTGAGCCTTGAGTCAAAAGTTAAGTAATTGAATTTTTATGATTTGTTTTTAAATCTGATCAATTTTTTACATTTATGGAGCTTCTCTAGGGAAATGTAATAATGCTTCATATCCATAACTTAGTTTTTGAAATTTTCATCCATATTTAGATAGTTTAGCTTCAATTATTTATGAGTAACTCTTATAATTCTTAGTTAATTCACTTCTTCTTTATTTTAATTATTAAAAATGAAGTTAATTTGAGCATTTTAGTGTTTAAATGTTAGCATTAGTTAAGGTTTTCAACTGTCCATCCATAATTTTTATCGTTTCAAATAATTATCTACTTTTTCTCGCTAACCATCAAAATTCCATTCCTTCAAGGACTTATTGGCCTTTTAATGTATTCTGTAGGAGGGTCGGTTTCTGCTCATTGACGTAAGGTGCTGCCATACTATGGGCTGAAACTTACGCCATCGCAAACTGAATTTGAATTCCCGTTTTGAAACAATTTTACTAAATTGAAACTGAATTAATTTGCTTTGAAAATGTAGTTTTATAATTCAGTTTCAAATTCAACATTCAGTTTGTTGTGTCACACATCCAGGTCCTTCCAGAGTAATCAATCGTAGATTGACGTTTCCCCATCAGTGAAACTTCCTTTAAGGAAATGTAGATATGTGGTTCATTCTCAAGAAGGCAGTAAAACACAAAGAAGAAAAATAGAAAAACAACTTCCTTTTCAGCACATTTGTCGAAATGTGTTGTGCCAAAAAATGGTGATGATCTGCCAAAAATCGATTTGTGCTGTGGGAGCTTGCCCAATATGCTGTTTCAGTTCCTCGAAATTTAACAAGATTAATAACTAAAACTATTGTTTGCTTGAGCTTATAGCAAAGGTGTGTCTCCGTTTACTTTTCCTTCATAAATGCACTTTAATGGTCAAAAAAAGCTTCATTTCACCACCTGCGTGAAGTCCCCCCCCACCCCCGCGACCTTCTTCAAATCCAACAAAACTGGTGTCAAACATTTGTGCAGCAAAAGTTTTCGTTTTTGCCGCTATCATTTTATATTAATAAATGTTTGCAGAGGTCATGAAAGGTCAACCAGCCCCCCCCCCCCCCTTTTTTTTTCAAATCAGACAAAATTGGTGTCAATCAACTCGGCTACATTTGTGCAGCAAATATTTCCGTTTGTGCTGCTTTTGTTTGAAGATATTAATGAAAGTTTAAAGGTCAGTTCCCTAACCCTCATGAACAGATTTTCGTTGACCTTTGACGACCTCTGGAAACATTTTTATTAATAACTTTGAAATGTTAGCGGCACAATCAAAAATTGTACTGCACAAACCAGCACAAATGGAGCACAAACTTTTGACCCCAATTTTGTTAGATTTGAATAACGTGTGTGTGTGTGTGTTTGTGTTTGGGTGGGGTTTGACCTTTTGACCTTTAAACTTTCATTAATATCTTCAAAGTAAAAGCAGCACAAACGGAAATATTTGCTGCACAAACGTAGCCGAGTTGATTGACACCAGTTTTGTCTGATTTGAAAAAGTGGGGGGCTGGTTGACCTTTCATGACCTCTGCAAACATTTATTAATATCTTTAAAATGATAACGGCACAAACAAAAATTTTTGCTGCACAGAGCAGCACAATTGCTTGACACCAATTTCATTTGATTTGAAGAAGGTGGAGGGGCCAACTTCACTCAGGTCATTTCGCCTGTTTGTTCAATTCTGTTAAATTATGAACCATAATCAATTTTTTGTTGCCGTAATCGATTTTTGGCAGGCTGCCAAAAAAAAAAAAAAAAGGTTTTATTGACCATTAAAGTTCATTTATGAAGGAAAAAGTAAACCGAGACACACCTTTGCTATAAGCTCGAGCAAACAAACAATAGTTTTAGGGGTTAATCTTGTTAAATTGCGAAGAACTGAAACAGCGGGTCCTCTCGTGCAAGCTCCCGCGGCGCCAATCGATTTTTGGCAGACCATCACTTTACTTTTTGGCACGACATGTCGTGAAACATCAATCTGTCAATCTGCGTTCAGTTACTCTGGAAAGACCCGGACGTGTGACACAACAAACTGAATTTTGAAATTGAAACTGAATTATAAAACTGAATTTTCAACGCAACAAACCATTAAATTCAGTTTCAAAACAGGAATTCAACTTCAGGTTGTAATTGCATAAATTTCAGCCCATACGCTGCTTTGTCTACCTCAGGTATCTGCAGAAGGTAAAGTCCCTGCAGGGCACAAGAGCTTAACTTCTGACCTTTAGTCAACCCCGTTAGCTCAAGTGGCTCCATTTATCATCTTCATCTGAACGTGCAGCTGACGTTCACAGACGCAGCTGAAGTCTCAAGGCTGAAAACTCGAGTAATGTCAGGTTGAAGTCCGGCAAAGCCCAAAACCTGAGACAGAAATCGGAAATGTGTTCAGAAACGTCCTCTGTGGGTCGGTGTCCTAACGTTGTGCGTTGATTGTGTGTTTGTGTGGACAGCTGACGCACTTCATCAACTCGGAGATAGACGGTGCCTTAATGACCGGGCAGCGGGCCATAGAGCAAACCCAGGTCAACATCCAGTGGGTCAGCGAGAACAAAGCCATCATCCTGGAGTGGTTCGAGAGAGAGACTGCTCACTTGGAGTAACAGAAGCAGCGTTTATCGCTTCATCCATCCGTGGTTCTGACGGTTCGGCTCATCAGACGACTGTAAACCAGAACTTAAAGGTTTGCATGGGGTTCAACATGGCAACCCGAATGAACCATGAAGTGCTGCAGACTGTAAGGCGTGCGGCGTTGTTTATGTAAATATTATTATGCATTATTTATAGGGTGATACAACTATAAACACTTAACTTTGTTTATTAATTTTAAGCGGATTTTACATCCGGTAATTATAAATTCGTCTGTTTATGAAAACAAAAAGGTTTTGTCTTGTTTGCTGCTGCCTGCGTATCAAAACGTTTCACAAACTGAATGCTTTTATTTTTTTAAACATCCGTTTCTTCCCTTCTGATGAGGTTAAATCAAAAAGTTTCAAAGCAGCGCCCCAAATCCTGCTGCTGATCTTTAGACGTGCACAACTTCTGCACGTTTCCTCGAGCGTCTTAGATGATTAATCATCATCACTGTTGCCGTTTAGGTGGAAAAGTTCTGAAATAAAACATTCTTATTGTGTTAAACAAACATTTCTTGTGGTGTTTTCCAGCAGCCAAATAGCTAAGGTGTATCTGTGAGAGTCTGTCTGTTAGCAAAATATCTCATGAACCATGGATGGATTTTAAGGAAACTTGCAGAAAATCATTGGATGTATGTCTAACCCTATTCAAGATGGCCGCCACAGCCAACTCAACTCTTGACTTTAGGAACAACTTGCTCCAGTGTTTCAAAGCCCGTCTGAAAATTCACTTTTACCATTTGCTTTTATTCCAGTTCAGTTTGAGTTCCTTCACATTTCTGCTTCTTTGCATTACCGTATTTTTCAGACTATAAGGAACACTTAAATCCTTTAAATATCTCAAAAATCCACAGTGAGCCTTATCATCTGGTGCGCCTTATGTATTAATTCTGTGCTTACTGACCTAAAACCGATTTTATGTGGTACATGGAACTCAAAAATATGTCAAAATGAACTTGTTTTGCTTAATGCGCCATATAATATGAAAAATATGGTAATTTCTTTTCCGCCATTTTTTTTTGTCCACCTGTTGTATTTTTTACTTAATTTCTGTTTGTTGTAAAGCACTTTGATCAATGTTGTTTAAATTTCTGCTACATAAATAAACTTGACATATTAGACCCATTAGAAAACACAAAAATAGCTACAGATAACGTCAATTTTGCAGCAATTGTGCTAAAATTTAGTGTGGTAGTAGCTGAGTTAGTCACAATATATAGTTTGACATGATTTGAGTTATTTTCAAAGTTTGCCCAAAATGGCTACAACTTATTTCTCATGATCTGAAAGGTGATGACCAGCATGCAATATTTGAAGGAATGCTAAGCCTTAAATTATTAGGACATTTTATGCATTAATTGAAAACCAAACCCCTAATCGTTATTCCCACTTACATGAGCCATTCAGTTTATGCAAATAGAGAATTTACACCAAACACAGAAGTTCTTCTTTGTTTTTTTTTCTTTCTTCTAAACCTTCAACAGTATTCAAAGCAAATGGTCATAAAATGAACATTTCAGTTAACTCTTTAGTCATCGCTGCACTGCAGATTCACTTAGAGTCGCTGATTTAATCATAAAAGCAGATTTATTTTACTTTGATTGCACAACATGATCAGAGCAGATTCAGAATGTGGTTTTCTTCAACTAAAGCAACTTTTCTTGGTGCTGGGAATAAAAAACAAGAACTATATATGAATTAAGACATGCAATAAGCTACATTAAAAGCTTAAGAAAAAAAAAACACCAAGTATGTTATTGCTTTAAACACCCCAGGTTGTTTTAGTATTTAAGAACAATGTGGTTCACATCACAGCCTTCCATGAGCAAACACTGAACTGTTGCGATTCATTTTAACAATAAATGGGAACTTTAATAGGCGGACCCAAAGGTCAGAAGTTACCTATATGTTTGTATTCTTGGTTAAAGTTATCAAACATTTATTTGTTAAAATTGAATAAAAGTGTGATCACACTCAAGCCTTTTGTAGAAATCATTTAGTCGTGGACAGATGATAATCAGATGTTTTTGTAAGTTCGAAAGCTAAAGAAAATTAAAAATGTGCAGTGAGACAAAGCTTTTTAACTGGAAACAGCTGTTCATGTGGAACAGGCTTTAAATATTATCCGTCTTCCAATTTGGAAAGGTAAATAATGGCAGCGTGCGAGTGTGTGGGAATACAAGAAGAGAAATGTAAAGTACACAACGCTGACAGAGAGAAAGTGTTTTTTTGTCCCAAGCTGTGGACGTGACGTACGGTTTTCAGCCTGGAGGCCAGAGGACTGCTTAACATCCAGCCAGAGGTAGAGCTGATGAGAGGAGGTGGTTTCCTCAATCATCCTGAGGGAGACAAAGAAACAACATTCAGCCACAGATGGATTCTGCTGCACCGTTCCCGTCAGAATAATCAGGTTGTTTTTCAGATCATAAAAATAAAGAGCATCTGTTTAAAACTGACATCTAAATAAATCTTAATCCATTCAGAAAATGTAGCTGCCGCCTTTGGTTGCTATATGAAATATTTTGTAACCGAAGCTGATGTTTCAAAACGGGTTCGAGTCAGTGTTTGTGCTGATTAATCAAAAATCTACCTGGCAGGAATTGTTCCGACATCCTGAAACAAACAGGCTTTGACTGCTGATGTTTTTATTTTTCTTAAAATAGAACAGCATTTATTTATTTTTTTGTTGTTGTTTATGCGTAAAGTAATACTGTACGATGAAATTGGGAATGGCAGGACATTATTGGGCATTTCAGGAGCGCCTAAGCATTTGTAGCACCAATTATAATAGCTAGTTACAGTGAAAAATGTTAAAACTCAACAGGAATAAAAAGAGGAATCATTGCGACATCAGCCTATAGAACCAACTCTTTCCGTAGATTTTTAATTATCCTGCAACGATTGTAGAAAAAATAAACTCGTCCCAGTTCATCCGCAAAAGATAAAACAAAAAGAAAAAGACATGAGTTGCCATCTTTAGGGATGTCCGTTAGATCTGAGCGTTGACAAAAAAACAACCAAGGGGAATGTGTGTAAAAGATTCATGTTCTGCTGGACTTACTGTACAAAATCACTTTTTTAAAAGGTCCACTTTAAAGAAATCCACAGATAATGTCGTCTGTTGTGTGAGTGAATCCTGGCTGTTTTCATGTTATCACAGCTACACAGAGATGATCTATTCTTACTGTAGGTTAAACTAAATATTTATAAAGCAAAGTGTCTTTGCCCTTTGAACAATATCAGAACTGATGTATTGGTGCTGAATACTGACGGTTTTAACACTAAAACATAACGTTGCTCGTGATTTGAGTATTCTTTTACTTGAACGTGCATTTGTACAAAGATAAAACTCTCTAAAAGAGCACAGAATGTCTTGATTTCAGCTCCCTGCCTCCTCTGCTCTGCCGCCTGCAAGCGCTCTTGGCCACGCCCACTTCTTCACTCTGTGCGGTGAACAGCTGATCAGCTGCAACAGGAAGTTTATCCTGCAGTGTGGGCTGCACACATGTGCAGCAGGTGCTAAATAATTTAAACTAATTTATTTTAAATAAACAATCCATGCCGATCGTGCGGCTCATCCATCATCAGCCAATTGTGTGTCATGTCCAGTCTTATTTTGAAAAACCGCGATAGAGCAAGTCCGCAATAAACAAATTAATTTTATGTTGCTCTATTCTTTTATTTTATTCTATGTCTTGTGATTGCATTTATGTCTTATTTGGTCCTGTAACTGCTTAAAATGTGTATAAATAAAGCAAGTACTAGTACTTTAATGTACTTTTAAAATAAACCTGGCACTTACAGTTTGAAACTTTTTAATAGTTTAGATTTATTTTCTAGCTTGCTGGCACACAAGTCTTTATAAGTTTGTCACTTACTAAAGTGAAATGTAATTCCTAATTTCACTCTGATATGGTGTACAACTAGGACTACCAAACAGTTTGCTGATAATCACAGAGTTGTTGAACCTTCGTATAATTAACAGCACAGCTGAAATATTTCATATATAGTAATGTTAGATATTACATGATTTCTTCTATTTTTACAATAATGATGTATAAACCACTTCCTGTTTTGAATAAGTAAAGTATCACAGAATCACAGCTGTTTGAAAATGTTCATGCAGTTTGCAGCTGATATTTAGAAATTTTTGAGAAAGATTTCCACAAATTAGCAGGAAAATATGGGCTAAATATTTCCGAATTAGATGCACATTTCTAATCCAGCTGTTGATTTTATCTGATGTGACTTTGAACTCACCCATTCATCCTCCTCTGCTCCCTGTCCTCCTCCTTCGGGCTGCTGAGAATCGCCGGCATCCGCCTTATTGGCCATTATTTTGTCTGTCCATGAGGCTCCGGCCTTTTCATCGCCTGCGAAGTTACACTTGGTCACATTTCCACCATCCACTTTGGCTAAAGAAACTTGGAGATGAAGAAAAACAATTGTTAAAGATTATCAAAGCATCAAAAACGTTGAGTTTTAAATGATAATAGGCATAAATGTCACAACAGGACGGGTCTTATGTTCCTTTAAATGTAAGAATATGTTGAATTGTGGCCTGGTCACGTTGTAAAGTTTGCAGATGATACAGCGGTGGTGGGATGCATCACAAACAATGATGAGTCCAGCTACAGGCAGGAGGTGGAACACCTGGAGAGCTGGTGCAGAGAGAATAACCTTCACATCAATGTGAAGAAGACAAAGGAGATGATTGTGGACTTCAGAAGGAACAAAAACACCTACACCCCCCTGAACATAAGAGGATCTGCGGTGGAAGTGGTCTCCAGCTACAAGTACTTGGGTGTACACATGAATGACAACCTCAGCTGGAGCAACAACACCACCAGCCTGATCAAGAAAGCTCATCAGAGACTCTACTTCCTCAGACGGCTGAGGCGAGCTGGTCTGGGAAGCTCAGTCCTCACCTCCTTCTACAGGTGTGCAGTGGAGAGCATCCTGTGCTCGAGCATCAATGTGTGGCATGGAGGCTGCACAGCTGCAGAAAGAAAAGCTTTGCAGAGAGTGGTGAAGGCTGCACAGAAATCTGTCGGAATCAGCCTCCCCACCATCACAGACATCTACACCTCCAGATGCAGGAAGAGGGCCACCTGCATCATGAAGGACCCCACCCACCCAGCACACACACTTTTTGCCCCACTCCCCTCAGGAAGGAGGTTAAGGAGCATTAAGTGTAGAACCACTAGACTGAGGAACAGCTTCTACCCTGAGGCTGTTAGACTCATGAATCTCTAACTAGAATAATCACTGTGAAAAACCATATCATGTTGCTGCTGATCTGTTTCATGTTGCTGCTGATCTGTTTCAATGTTGGTGTGTTCATGCGTGCACATCTGCTCACAGACTCATGTTCATGTTTGTGCTGATGTTCAATGTTTTATGTTATGAGTGCTTAGTGTATATTTAGTTGATGTTTTTCTTAGTTCATATCTTAGATGTTATTACTGTTTTTCTTATACATTTTATTGTTGGATGTAACTGGGACCCTGTGTACATAATTTCGTTCCACCACATGTACCACATGAGGTGCGAATGACAATAAAGAAACTCTGACTCTGACTCTGACTCTGAAACAAAAACCCAGACTTGTTTAAAGTCTGTAAAATGAAAACAAGACAGATAGCCATCAGTTGCTCCCTCATGTTCTGCATTATTGAGGTTTTGACTGAAACAGAGGTTTAACTTCACTTATTTATGTGAAAGTTACAAGGTGTAGCGATATCTGATGGTTTTTGTCTTCAAGTTGTTTTAAACAAACGAGACGTGGTCTTGTTTTTAAATTTTTCACTCATTTGTTAAACTGAGAACAATCGGTTTACTTCAGGTAAGACACTGATTGCTCATAGCAATTCCGAACAATCCCACTACAAAAAGGCAGAACTATCCGTTTAAAATTTGTTAAATATAACCGTGCATGATTAATAAGAGACAACTTATTACGTTGTCTCATTAGTTATCAAAAACTAAGCCCAAATGAGGCAGAATTGTGCATAATACAAAATGTTTTTAATTTATTTTTATTTTTAATCAATTTTAAAATAATATTGTGAGGGGTTTATTTAATTATAATTAGTTACAGGTCTTTATGACTTTTAAAGGAAGGAAAAATGGAAACATAAAGCTGCAATCACAAAACTATTTTCTAAAACCCATTTATGACTACTGACTTACTTTTAACAACTATTGCAAAAAACTATAATAAGATGAGGTAGTTATTACAAATATAGGTGCAGGTCTGCAGAAACCAAAGTGAATAAGTACAAAGTTGTTCTCTTTATTCTTTTAAACAAATAGGCACCTATTTTAGATTTAATCGCAACAAGCACATTTTATATGCTGTATTAAAACTTTTTTTTTTTAAGAGTAACTTCACAGTCAATTAGTTATTTTTAAGTACTGGATACTTTACATTATGAAATTATTTTTAAATAGCTTAGATGTTAGCTCACCTTACAAACTTGTATTAAGTCTCTTTAGTAAAAGTGTTCATGAATGGAAATAATATAAAAAAATATATAAAAAAAAACATGTTCAAAGTAAAACAGCAGCTTCTGCAGACTCACATATGAAAGGACCGTTTCCTCTGGTCTTCAGACGTACTTCCTGTCCCGCTTCCAGCTCTGTTTTGTCCATCTCCGACTCTGGGTACCAGAAGGCCCATGTCCCAGACGGTCGGTGCTTGTCGGTGATTTTAACCAGCTCAGATTTGTTAATCATCGCAGAAAGCTGCTCTTCAGTCAGACGGTCCGACTCCCCCTTAGCCTCCACCTCTGTGCACACAGAACATACTTTTAAGCTAAAAACATATTAGAGGGATGTAAAATCTTCTTAACCATACACATACCAAAAAAAAACATGTTTAGCAGAGCCAAGAGTATCAGAAGATTCTTAAGAACTCTAAAAATGATTCATTTAGTCAGTGTGTTAAGTATTACTGATTAAATGCAGGGATATAGGAGACGGAGAATAAACTCACTGTAGGAGGACATGAGGAAACCAGTGTTGACCTTTTTGGTGTCACTAAAGTTTGGCTCCACTTCCTTCCCACTGGCATCAAACTTCCTCTGGTGGATGCGACTGGGTTTGATGTAAATCACATAGAAACGAACCTGACAGGTGAAGGAGGCAGGACAGCCAAGAGCAGCTAGAGTTAATTTGATCCTTTTTTTACACTTCGATGTGTTTGCACTGATATTACCTAAACTTCTAGTCTTAGCAGTGAATCTCAACCTTTTATGTTTTTTTGTTGTTGTTGTTGTTTTTAGAAAAGGTAATCAGAACAGGTCGGGAGGATTTGTCAAATGTAAATAAAAATTAAATGCAATGCTTTGCAAACCTCACAAGCCCACGCTTTATTCAAAGTGGAATATAAACACATCAAATGTTTAAACTAAGAAATTATATTTTTATTGTATTTTTTAGAAGAAAAAAAGGTAATTTAGAATATGATGGCAGCAACACATCTCACAAAAGTTGTTCCAGGTCCATGTGATCCCTTGTTTCTTTTAACAACAGTCTGTGAACATCCAAGAACTGGGGAGACCAGTTTTTGGAGAGAATGTCGTCTCATTCTTGGCTGATGTAAGATCTTAGCTTTTCAACAGACATGGATCTTCTGGGAGATTATATTGTTCTAAAAACTATATACTGATGGTGTCCCACTAACTGCCCATACCAAAGGAATTACTGCACCCCCATACAGCTTCCCCCTTTACCTCAGTCCATTTTAAATAAACTGATCCAGAGAAGGAGGCTTCATTTCAGGATAATGTTTCCAAGAAGCTTTTTGTTTGTATGTTATATCAAAGTTCATGCGCAATAATCCAGGTAAAAAAATAAATAAATAAATCCAAAAAAAGTGAATTCAGGTCATCCGAATGTTTTTTTTTTATGTTTTGTCCTTCATCCAAAGGACTTCATCAGTCTGAGGAGCCACAACAAACTCAGTCCCACAAGCAGCACACTCACATAGTGGACCTTTCTGGTGATAAGATGGTTTCTGGGGCCCACCCTCTCCCCCTTGTGGCTCCTCGGACTGATGAAGTCCTTTGGATGAAGGATGAAATGTCTCAACAAAAAAAAAAGAAACCATTCAGATGACCTGACTTAACTTGGTTGGATTTTTCCCTGGATTATTGAGCTTGAACTTCGACGTTTGGAACCATTTTGGCCATGGCTGCCGCAGAGGAGTCGACAAGGGAGAGGGTGGGCCCCAGAAACCATCTTATCATCGTCAAACTGGTTGGCCCACTATGTGAGTGTGCTGCTTGTGGGACTGAGCTTGTTGTCGCTTCTCAAACTGATGAAGTCCTTTGGATAAAGGACGAAACATTTCAACAACAACAAAAAGAAACCATCCAGATGATCTGACTTAACTTGGTTGGATTTTCACGATCGAGCTTTAAACAGCATTTGTTATGGCAAACTTCATCTTCTGGATAAAAGATGAAACGTCTCAACAAAGAAGAATCCATCGAGAGGACCTAACTGATCTACTTGAATTATTGAACATGAATCAAGACGTTCGTTAAGTCCTCTTACAGACCAGTTGCCAATCAACCTAAGTAGTTGAAAAATGCTCCTTCGGCTGTTTCTTATTCTAACCACTTACAACCCTTTGTTGCTTTATCCTACATTTTTTCAGATGTGCTGCCATAAATTCCAAAATAACCCACTTTTTTTTTTTCTTAAAAATGAAACAATACATTTGTTTTCACATTTATGTTGACTAAATATGATGGTGAATAAAATGAATAAACATGTTTTACAGTATCTACACAATGTCTCAACTTTGTCATCACTATGGTTATATTAATCAAAAATAATAGTGGTAGTATTAGTTACCTTTTGACCTTTGACATCACTAATTGAATGTCTGGAAACATCCAGCAGCTTTCCTTCTAGCAGCAGCCCAGGACCACTAAGGAGATATTTTAAATCACATTTAGTTCACATATGTGCACAATCAGTGTCTAAGAAGTTGTATTTCATAATTTGTGAGAATTATAAATATCCATTATTTCAGAAAACCTTGTGAGCGACACAAAAATGTCGTCATAATGCTGCCTAACTTATTGTTAGTTTTAAAAATCCAAGTAAAAAATAAAAACATTTGTTTACGTTCATGGTTTCTGCTGTTATTGGTGAGATAACGCCGCAATATGTTCACCAAAACGTTGCCGAATAGAGCCGTATTTATTTTTTCCTTTAAAATCAGCCTTTGTCGAATGTAAATGAAGGTTTGTTTTATATTATGAGTAAAAACAGAAAAAATATATAATTTTCTATTGAGGTTTGGCGCTGTCTGACGCTCAAATTTAAATTATTACCTTTCATATGAGGAGGGGGACCACACACGGTCATATCTCTCATTGTGTACAGGTTTGTTCTGTAAAGACTCGTTGTGATAAATTCTGCTCATCTTTAAATAAATAAAAACAGAAAGTTCTTCCCCTCTCAGATTTTTCCTGTTTCCAAACTTCCTGTTCCTACGTGCAGCGACGTATGAAGGGGTGTGCTCGTTTTTGACGCCTCTTGGTGCCGCCGGCCTGAACGGAGACGTAAAAACGTTTTGCTTGCATTGAGAACAACAACAACAACAACAACAACAACAACAACAACAACAACAACAACAACAACATTTAAACAAAATTAATATAAACAGAAAAAAAATGTAAAAAAAATATACGGGAGTAAAAGCTCTGTTGGTTTGAATTTGCAGAAAAAGCTGAAACGGAGTAGTTTAAATGATAAGAAGCAGAACACTTGCTAAAACTAAAAGGGAATAAATGCTAGCTAAAAATAGCTTGACAAATGTTGCAAAAAGTGAATAGTAGCCATTTTTTGGTAGTGAGAAAGTTAAAGTAGCAAAAGGCTGGTTAAAAGAAGCAAAACGTTAGCTAAAAGTAGAAAAACTAGCAAAAAAAAATTGCATTTGAAGACAATTTTTTTTTTATAAAGAATATTTTAAAGGCATTAAAAACATCTCCGTGTATTTCTGCTGGGAAAGCTTTTGAAAATATAGTTAAACATTTTGGAAAGTATATGTCACATAATCCAAAAGTTGCAGCAGCCATCGCCTAAGGAGCTGAATGTGTTTATTTGTTTTCTTCTTTCAGCTGCTCCCTTCATCAGGGGTCACCACAGAGAACTATCCATCCATCCATCCATCATCTTTTAACCACTTCTTCCATTTTAGGTCACGGGGGTCGCCGGTGCCCATGTCCAGCAATCACTGTGCGAGGGGCGGGGTACACCCATGACAGGTCTCCAGTCCATCACAGGGACACATGGAGACAAACGAGACAAACAACCATTCTCTCTCTCACACACACACCTAGGGACAATTTAGAGTTACCAATCAGCCTAACATGCATGTTTTTGGTCTGTGGGAGGAAACCGGAGTACTCGGAGAAAACCCACCCAGAAATCCACCCAGAAAGGCCCCGGTCCGGGATTTGAAGCAGCGAGCTTCCCATCACAGGCCCACCTTCTCTAACCTCTGCACCACCACTCCTGCGCCAAAATGTTTTGATACATGAATGGCTAAAATAGCACCAACAACGCACAAGTAGTTAGTACCACCAGTTAGTACCATTTGTACTGTTATGAAATAAATATAGGTTTATGAGTTTGTAAATAATTTTCATTTACATTACATTACATTCCAACATTTTGGATATGAGGTTGAAACACAGCAGTGAAGGCTAACCTATGGGGCAGATCTGGTTAGCAGGTCGTAGACTGAGGAAGTCCTCTGGATGGGGGACGAAACGTTTCTCACTTACAGAAACTGGTCTAGATGACACGATGCAACCTTTTTTATTGCTATCTACCTGGATGATTGAGCTTACAATCCTTTTTTTATTTTTTACACAAAGTAAAGTTTCCAATAAGTTCTATCTATACAAATCACATGTGTGTGTGAACAGTTCATCTGGGCTCATCATAAACAGTTTGTATTTTTACTACAAGTTGATGTTTGTTCTTCTGGCTCTCTTGGACAGTTTCTGTGTTCCCTCTGAATTCCCTCTGCTGTGTTTTCTTGATGAAACAATCTTGGATTTCAGTGTTTGAGCCACGATTCGAGGCCTGTTTGGAGAATTCAAATCCAGCTCGTTGGAGTGGGCCGCAGAAAAACATCCTGTCTCGGAGATCTCGCTGCCCGGGGAGCATTCAGCAGAGGCTGTTACCAGGGGAGTGTTCATGTTACAGATGCTGAAAGGGGTCAGGTCCTTCCCACATTCCTGCATGGAGACAAACAGCTTCAAAAGAACTGCCGTCATTTAATTTAATTTTAGTTTCAGTACATCTTCACAGCCTACAATTTAGAATCAGCTTCCTGCAGCCTTACTGCTCCTCATTCATCATCATTATCATCACCAGGAATGTTCTGAAGTGTTCAATTTCTAAAACATTCTACACAATTTTTATATCCGAATTGTTGACATTTCTGAGGTGAGGATCAAATTTTGCAACCCCATTGGTCTGTTGACAAAATATCTCATGAACCACTGGATGAATTGTAATAAAACATTCAGGAAATATTCTCTACAATCAGTTAACCCAATTCAAGATGGCTGCCACAACTAACTCATTGTAGAAAACATAAAAACGGCTATAATTCAGTCAGTTTTACAGTTATTGACCTGAAATTTTGTGTTTTAGTAGCTGAGACTCATCCCAAACATTTTTTTATGACTGCTAATAGATTGTGCAACATCTATATTTAAAATGTAGTCGTTAACTAGTTGTAATCAACCCGGTCTGATAGCACAGGACAGATTTAAATGACACTCAAAGAGAGTTATCATTGGACGAACATATAACTGATGAACTTGAAGTCAAACAATTCAAGATGGCTGCCTTAGCTAAATGACCTTAGCAAACACAAAAATGGCTTCAACTCTGTACATTTAAGAGATATTTTGCTAAAATCTGGTGTGGTAGCTGAGAGTCATGACGTTGTGCGATATCACTTAAGGTTTGATTAAAATGACTGTGATGTTAAATGAATTTAATACGTTAGGTTCTAACAAGGAATGCTGAGAACCTTCTGTACGCTAATCTTAGATAAAACAACGTCTCACCTGCTGCTTGGACGAGTAGCGACCCAGCTGAATGTTGAGCCAGATGTTCCGGCGCTGGGTCCAGCCTCCCGGAGCCTCCACCTCGTACAGACGCTCCCGATGCTGGTCGTGCTGCTGCAGGAACCTCCTGATCACTGAACATCCACACAAAACGTCTCCATTCAGACTTGTTGCATGTATTTTATTCACTGTTGTTATCCCCAACAACCAGTTTGAATTCTGCACCGTCCAGTTCGGTTGCAGAAAAAAGAAGCTACAAGAACAAGTAATTCCCTGCAGTGTTTCCTGCTACTTTGTGCACTCAGGTTTGAGGGCATCCTCGTTCTTCATGAACATCTACACATCACATGCTGTTTATTTAGGGAGTCAGCGTCAGAGAGATCTATTTGTCATACACACCACACGTGATACAGTGGGACGAAACTATGTACATAGGGTCCCAGTTACATCCAACAAACACACAAATTGTAAAGAAAAACTTTAGTAAGATCCTGAGTCATGAACTAAGAATATACTATATTCACTAAACTAAGAATATAATAATTTATATCAATAAGGAAAAACATTTTGGGAACGAAACATAAACTGGGTTACTTTGGATGTTGACCCAGATGTTATCCACACATATGACATTTGTCAGATTAATTGGAATCTGAGCTAAGAAATAAGAAGCTTTTAGCACTAACATTAACTTGGTTTGTAAAATAATGTGGAAAATTGATAAGAAATGGTTTTTTTTTTCTTCAGCTTGTTTTCTAACATCTGTTATGTCTGATAAGTTTCAGGGCTCAGCTTAAAATGCCACAGTCTGATAGTTGTTCCCAGTGTGGTGAATGCAGTCAGTGCAATATTCAGACAACCGATGAAAACAAGATGAATTGCATTTCCTAAAAAAATGGAGTGTGACTGCTTATTGCAGAAGAATTTGCAGAAAAACAGCTGAAATTACCTAAAAAAAAAAAAACATGCTGAAATGCAGCTGAAAGAGGAAAACTAAGCATACTTAAAAGAAAGCAGAAAGAACACATTTGCTGAATTAGGTTTAAATATGCAGAAATGAGCACAAAATTAGAAAATCTGATTTAAAAAAAGCTGAAATTAACTAAATATTTGCTAAAAAGTAGCTGAAAAGGCAGAAAAAAAGCTTAAAGAACCAGAAGGAAGCAGAAAGAGCTGAAAAGAGTTAAAAAAAAAAGTGGAATTAGCTGAAATAACTAAAATTAGCATGAAACAGCTAAATAGAAATGCAGTTGCCAGGAAAAAGACAAAGGAGCTATATGGATGCAGTTAGAGAAGACATGAAGGTCGAGGGCAAAGGATGCAGAGGACAGAGTGAGGTGGAGGATGACTCGCTGTGGCGACCCCTGAAGAGGGAAGCAGAAGCATGAAACAGCTAAATAGTAGCTGAAATAGTAGAAATGGCCAAAAAATGCAGAAATAAGCTGAAACAAGCATAACAAGTTGAAATTAGCATAAAGAAGTTAATTAGTCTGAAAGTAGCAGAAATTACCATGAAAAACTTGAATGTATCTGAGAACAGCTTAAATAAGCTAAAAGATACTTAAAAAAAAAAGGTAGCTGAAAAGTTAAAACATACTTAAATTAGCAGAAGAAAGTAGAAAGAACGTTTGCACAATTAGGCTGAAGGAAATAGAAATGAGCACAAAAGAGTGGAAATGATCTGGAAAAACAGCTGAAATTAGCAAAAAATAAATAAAAATCAGCTGAAAAGTAGCTCAAAAGGGAGAAAGAAGCTTAAATTACAAGAAGGAAATGGAGAGTATATTTTAGATGAATTAGGCTGAAAAATACTGAACTGAGTACAAAAATGTGGAATTAGCTGAAAAAGGTAAAATGAGCATAAAACAGCTAAATAGTAGCTGAAATAGTAGAAAAAGATTTTTTAAAAAGTAGAAATAAGCTGAAAGGAGCAGAAAAATGTTAGAAAGAGCACAAAAAATGTTGTAGTTAGCAAAAAGAAGTTGAAAGGAGAACAAAAACAGCTGACCCCCCCCCCCCCCCCCCAGCTGAAATTAGCTGTAACTAGCTGAAAAAAATGTTTAATTTGCACAAGGAAGCTGAAGCAGAACAAAATGTGAAAGGAGCAGTAAAATGTTGTAAATAGATCAAAGATTGGAAGGATGTAAAATGAGCTCAATTCATTTTCTATGAGGAAAAAAGGCAGAAAAGGCTAAATGTTTCAAAAAGCTAAAGTTGCACCAATCCACAAAGTCATAGCAGGATTGTCCTGGAAGAGCTGAACGTTTTGATACATGATCTGTTGAAGTAGCTTAAAAACTGCAGGACGAGAATTGCGTCAAAAAACGTACGGAAGAAAAATGATCACAATAGAGTGAATGCTTCATAAACATTCACACAACTAGAGGAACTGCAGAGTGATCGCCGAGCGCTGAAAAAAACTGTACAAATGGTCAAAGCATCAAAAAGGAAGCTAAAAGACTGAAAGAAATGAAGATATGACCTAAATAAGGAGATAAACAGGAAGACTTCAGCTGACCTGCTGCCATGCTGGATGATAACGGAGAGCTGACTCCGAGAAACTCCTCGGAGGAGAACGAGGAGCAGAAATCCTGCAGGATCTGCAGGCCGAAGCCTCTCCTCCTGCAGCTCCTCCTCACCAGCACCGTGTCCAGGACGGGCAGCAGGTAGCAGCAGCTGCTCCAGGTGTCACACAGGCTGCCTGAACCAGCACAGGAGGGGGTCACAGCTTTCATTAAAACAACGTTCAGCTGACCGCGCAGGTCTAATTCCTGTCTTTGATGTTTCACGCCAGGAAAATAACTTTTAAAGCAACCTCATTACTCAACACCAAGATTTGAGCAGTAATCACTGTTTTATAAAAGTTTATGGATTCAATCAGGTTACTTTTGGTACATAAAGAAGTAAACACAGTCTTATAGGCTTTACATGCATTCGATGTTTATGAAACAAGAATTTTGAGTAAAATATTCTGGTTTTAATGTTAGCAGGATTTATTACTTACAGTGAAAGTCGTATCTCACGGTGCTGCGACTGTTGGATGCCGGCTGCACTCAAACTTGATTCAAAATTGTGAGAAGATCTGAACATTTTCAGTTTTTGAGTGTTTCTGACCAAGTGAGCAACAAGCTATGGCTCGGCCAATTTTGGAGGAAAAAAAAAGGTTGCTTTTTGTGTGCACAACTTACAAAACTGTATTCTATGTCATGCTATTTGTTTAACTGCCCACGTCCACCTACACCTTAACAGCTGCACTCACAGTTGTGATATAATCTTCTGGAGTACACTTGGAAAATGAAGATGGGCAAATTTGAACCAGTTTTCCAATAATAATTATTTATTATCAGTGTGGTTTTTAGACCTGGGCCTGTGTTCTGTCAGAGAAGAGCTCCCTTGCAGGTGTCAACATGAATCTATTCCACTCGTTTGAGACACACAATGACTTTTTTGAACATGTTCAAATTTCAAGCAACAGGACTGCAACACTCTGAGACTCATAAGAACATCCACAAACATTGTGAGACATTCTTAAGACTCTTGCTGTTTGCCAACTAGTTACAGTCATTTCCTACTGAGATATTACTTCTAGTCAGTGGTGGGCACAGTTCTGCTAATCTGCTAACAGCTAATAATGGAACTAACTTTTTGTTAAACAGATTAGCATTTTCGCTAACTTTGGAAACCGTTAGGAGACCAAATAACGTCCAATAAATTGAGTTACAGTAACTTTAAATCCGCTCAAGCTTTCTGAAGACCTCTCTCAACCTCCTAAAAAGCATACAGAACAACAGTGACACACGAAACAATGTGACATCACCGCCTTCACAGTGCTAACCCCTTTATACGTACTGGAAACAACCTCTGACTTGTGCCAGTTTACAGCCAATGACAGAGACTTCACCATGAATGTCAAACCAAACCTGAACCAAACATTAACACGGACAACTGTTGTCCACACTCAGAAACATCGTAAACACTCAGAAACATCATAAACAGTTAGAAACATCGTAAACAGTCAGAAACATCGTAAACAGTTAGAAAAATCGTAAACACTCAGAAGCGTCATATGTCGTAAACAGTTAGAAAAATCGTAAACACTCAGAAGCGTCATATGTCGTAAACAGTTAGAAAAATCGTAAACACTCAGAAGCGTCATATGTCGTAAACAGTCAGAAACATCATAAACACTCAAACATTGTAAACACTCAGAAACATCGTAAACACTCAGAAACATCGTAAACACTCGGAAACATCGTAAACACTCAGAAGCGTCATATGTCGTAAACAGTCAGAGACGTCGTAAACAGTCAGAAACGTCGTAAACAGTCAGAAACATCGTAAACAGTCAGAAACGTCGTAAACACTCAGAAACGTCGTAAACACTCAGAAACGTCGTAAACAGAAACATTACACACATAATTCCTACAAGGCTACCCAGCCTCCTGTGCAGCTTTGCTTTAATCTGGGGCATACAAATGATTGTGTTTTTGTGTTAATCATGTTTAATTACAAGAACTAAAGTAGCAGAAACTCAAGTCAAAAGGCGGCACACTGCTGCTGCTGTGACGCCGTCTGTCTTTTTCTCTCTCCTGCAGTGTGGGGAGCTGCGTCTCAACTGATGAACTGATGACATTAGTTGTGATGGCCCGCTCGCAGGATTAAACAACAGATTAATTACAGAGAGAATATTGATGATGACGCACAGCAGCTTTGTAGTTAGTTTAAAAATAGTTAACCACAAAGAGGATTGTTAAAGTGAGTTAATTCTTTATAGTAAATGACACAAGGGAGACGTCCGACACACATTGAATGCATCACTCTGTTTCAGCACAGCAGAGTGATGCTCAGCCTCTTTGGTTCAGATGGACAAGTTTAGGCCTGTCACGATAACAAATTTTGCTGGGCGATTAATTGTCTCAGAAATTCTTGCGATAAACGATAATATTGTTTGAAATTTGATAATAATTAGTAATTATTGTAAAATTTAAGAAGAAATATTGGTTAATTTGTTTTGAGTGTAGTACCTTTTTTTCACCACCGGATAGCAGAATAAGACAGTTTGAACCGAAGGATGGATAGTGAGGGAGAGAGCAGCGTGTCTCTTTAAGAAAAATGAGAGGGAGGCCCCATGACATGTCAAGAGCGGTCTCTCCTTTTTTTCAGTTCGGTTTGAGCTCTTTAGCATAGCATTTTCACACAAAGCTTTAAATAAAAATAAAATCAGTAAACAAGTTCTCAGCTTATTTATGCAGAGAAAAACAACTTTTTACATGAAGGCACGGGTTTCAACTGTGAATTTTGGAGCTTCGTCAAGACAGTTTTTTCCCCGAGGTCGGCCTGTTAGCTTAGCTCGTAGCTTAGCTTCTCAGCTTAACTGCTTTTATCGATCCAAAATCGCAATTTTAGATGGTTCAAATAGATTTTAAAGAGAAAAGAGAAAGTGAGGGGTCAGTGAAGAGCACCAGAGTTGAGCCTTTTGTCATCCAGTATCTTCGGTAGAAAGAGAGAGACATAAAGAAACAATAAAGCCGATAAATGAAAATGAGGTCGATAATTTTCATTTATCGTGCGATTAATTGATTTGTTTATCGTGACAGGCCTAGACAAGATTAATTTCTGAAAGCTCACCTCTGAACGGGACATGAACGCTTTACTTGTGATTTATGGACCATTTTGCGTTGTGTTCACTTACAGCGTTGTCACATTGCAGACAGTCTTACATAGTTATCGACAGCAGTGGATGATAAAAGTTAAGAGCTTTAGTCTGATTCATGCTCAATAATCCAGGCGGAAAAATCTAACAAGTCCTCTTGACAATTTCTTTTTTTTTTCATCTGTCATCCAACTTCATCAGTCCAAGATGCTGCAACAAACAGTCTTAGAAACAGCACCTTTACATAGTGGGTCAACCAGTTTGATGGTGCTCAGGTGGTTTCTGTAGTCCGCCCTATCCCTCCAACTTGTTTGAGGCAGTCATGGCATCATAGTAGTTGACCCACTATGAGGAGGTGCTATTTATAAGACTGAGTTTGTTGCAGCTCCTCTGACTGATGAAGTCTTTTGGATGAAAGATGAAACGTTTCAACCAAAAGAAACCACCCAAAAGACTTGACTTTACTTTGTTGGATTAGCGCTTTAGCATTAGCTTCCGCAAATATGTTTAACCTGTTTAAGGGTTTAGCATTTGCAAACCTAAATTTTGGGTTAGCTGTGCCCACCACTGCTTTTAGTGTACTAGAAGCTGCCAGCTTGAATGTGCAGATCAACTGACACTGGAGGTTGGAGGTGTAGGAAACGACTTTTAGACCACGCAGATCTCAGCAGACTTTCTCACTGAAATGCAATTTTGAGTCCAACACTTGCAGGATTTGCTTGTATAAGAACAGGAAATAGAAACTAAAACTCCACAGCCCTCAGTCTGGCCTTTGTCAAAACACACAACAGAGTTTATGTAAATGGATCTGCCTGAGCCTGAGTGCTGTCATACTGTAAAGCTCTTCAGCTCCTAAATATCCCCTGAATGAACTGCAGTGTGTTTGCTTGAAGCTGGGCAGGTACTGCGGAGCTTTGTGGTGCTTAAAGCTACTGCAAAATAAACTTTAATTACTGATATTTGTATGGTTGAATGATAAATTAATGAAAACTTACGTGATTTACAGCTACAGATACTTGAGGTTGAGTCTAATAAAGCAAAATACAAACAAAATGTATCGTGTTGACAATAAAAACCCTGTTTTTCTGCGCTGCACAACTTCTCGGGCAGAATCCTTTCAAATGTTGAACTTCTTTTAATTCTCCGTCAGATTATGTTTGTGTGCGTTATGTCACATTACGTGGTTTTATCTCCCTCCACCTCACCTTTGTGTTTGATGGTGTAGAAGCCCACCGCCTGGTTGTCCGTCCACAGCACTTTGCAGCTCTCCGTGCGGGGGTGCAGGGAGAACAACACCTCCCCTTGTGAAGGAGGTCTCTCCACAACTTGACTGAGCAGGAACACAATCACCCTCTCCGTCGTCGACTGCACCTGTTGACGGGACAGTTTGGGACTGGTTTTACTTCTTGTGTGTTTTAATCTCCAATATAAAAATCCACACCAATCCACACAAACAGAATGAGACTAACAGCCAGGGCAGCTCCTCAGAGGACTAGACTGAATCAATAAAACAAAAGAAGCAAACTTCTGAATAAAAACAGGAACAATAAATTAAAATGGAGTCTTGACTGCATTTGTCAGTTCCCTCACGCGAGTCTCAGAGGTGTGCAGTTATATCACTTGAGTTTTAAACATGTTCAAAACATTTGTGTGGCAAGTTTTCTTGGGTGTCTTAAATCCATCTCAATCTGTATTTTTACAGCTGCATGGAAGCTCTTTGACAGAAAACGTGTCCAAGTCTAAAACCACATTCATGATAATTAAAAATGTGTCCAAATCTGTGTGTCTTCATTTTAAAAGTGTAATCCCGTAGATTAAATCACAACCATGGGGTCAGCTGCACGGCAAAGTGGGTACAAAAAGAGAAGAGGTGAGTATTTACGGGCGGAGGTGGGCGATAAGATAAGATGCACAGCCAAGAAATCAGTTTTGTAAGATGTGAACACAAAAAAGGACAAGAATTTAGAAAACTGGCCGTTCAAAATGCGGCTGCATGGCTCGCTGGTCACAGCGCAATGGAAGCTTCTGATTGTCAATGTAATCTGACAATTTACAGATTACCTCAGCAATCCATAACCAGAAGCATAAGTAACCCTGAAGGCACATTTAGATATTAGGAGATCATAAAAATGATGCAGCTAAGGATGCTCTAAAGCAGATGTGGGCAATTTAAGGCCCGGGGGCCAAAAGTGGCCCTTGGACAATCTCCATCAGGTCCCCCCAATATCTTTAGTTACAAAATAAACAATCTTATCTTTTTTTTTTAAAGATTGATTAAAAAACAGCAATTTATTAACAAGACTTAAGTAAATTAAATTAAACATCTTAATTAAAACATGTTTTAAATCGTTTCCAGAACTAGACTGAACCTTAAAAACTTGGAAATACAAATATATAACTTTGTTTGGCATATTCCCACTAACATGTATAACATGTTAAGCTAACGTGTATAATATATCGTCACAAGAGCCATTTTACAGAATACCGTTTGTCTTATGTTCCTAAAGGATATTGGATGGGTTTTATAAAGCATGCTAACTATGCTAATGACAAAGCCTGAAAAAGGTCTTCTAGATTATCTGTCATAAAGTAAATTAATTTTCCAAGTAGGGGGCCCTTTGATTGCTTTAAAACTCTTGATGTGGCCCTTTGGAAAAAAAAAATGTTGCCCACCTCTGCTCTAAAGGCAGTAATTGCATGGTTGAAACTCCTCATGCTGATTTGACCAAATATTGTAAACCTTTACTGGGTCAAAAATTACTCCCAAGCTATTTTTTTCTGTGAAAACAAAGTTTTAAACCAAACAAAGTCACAAAACGTATCTAAACTTGACCACTAAATGGTTGTGATGTTTTCATATGAAAAAAAACAATTGGCACACTGACCACCACCAAGCCACTTCTGGATTTACTGGATGTCCGCAACACATCATCCAAACGCCACCATTTGTCACGCAGGTACAAAGCCACGACTGGAAGATGAACACAGAGCAGCAGGCGTTAGCCGTTTTCTGGATTGGGGTGTCCATCGAGAGAAGTGTACCTCAAAACCTTGTGATGGATCTTCTGGAGGATGGAGTGCCAGAAGCACACGGGCAGGATGGTCATCGTCGAACAGCTGCAACGGCCTTATATTGGCTGTTGTTATGGCAATCTGTGCAGAAAGGAAGATTTTAACTTTTATGTAAAAATTCCAGTGTTACAGAAAGAATCAGGTGACGCAATCAAACTCAGAATACTAAATAATTTCCTTGCGTATATTACTTACACAGTTATCTAAAAATCACAGCTAAAATCAGACAAATTTAAATTAACAAATTTTGAGTGACTCACTGTCTCTATATAGAATACAGTTTTATTGTAATCACAAACAACAGTGAACAATTAATATTAACTTTTTTGGTACTCAAGCCAATAATTTATCTGGTTCTGTGAAGAAATATAAACAATTCGTTATTTTTAGGTCCAAATTTGATCATTTCACTTGTTTCATGAGAAAGAAATGTATAGATCTTTGTTTTATTTTTTGTTTTTAGAAGGATAAAGCATGCCTTAATTGTACAAAAAAAAAGTTTATTCATTATTATGTTAGTTCTTTAACCTTTTTCTTAGTTAAAAACTATAAAAGTCATGTGTTACCTTTGAGGTTTGGGAAGACTCAAACCACAAGTTAGTGCATGGTGTTGCGTTCAAGGACGACAGGTAAAGTTCAGCTGCAGACACCAGCTCAGTGTCCTCCACAGGTGGAAAATCAACAGGAAACATTACCTCCAAGAACAGGATATACTTTATATCAACTGTATTTAAAGCATGTGTTTAATAATAAATTATGTGTCGTTTCGACCAGCATTAAGAAATTTGAACATTTAAAAATCTAGGCAGAGACAGAAGCGAAGAAGAGAGCGGTCCCATAAACTTCTTCCAAATGAACAAGACATTTTTTTATAAACAGGGATGAAACAAATATTAGCTAAAAAAAAATCATGGTGTGCTGTCCGCGAAGACATAAAGGAAGACGAAATATAGTTTAGAAACGACAGCGAGTTCGTGATTTCTGCATTTCGACTTTGTCGTATCAAAAACAGCTCGTCTGTGTTTAACAGCGACTTCAACGATGACAACAGAAACCCGTGACGACGCCATAATTAATGTTCATAGCTGAAGAAAATAACGACTTATCAATTGCTTACCTCACTTTGTAATGAAAGGAGAACGTTTTAAGGCTACCTGTAAAATCTCGTTCCTGTACTAAACTTTGACACCACTGTTCCGACGTTGTTTTTGGCCCACAGCGCCATCTCTTGGCGGAAATGCGTTTTTGTCCCAGACAGGCCAGACCGGAAACACTTTGCATGAGCGTCAATATAAAAGCACATATTTGTAAATGTTAATAAAATAATAATATTAATAATAAAACAATATAGAGTGTAACATGCTTCCATCCATCCATTATCTTTACCCACTTCTTCCTTTTCAGGTCACAGTGGGCACCAGTGACCCCTGTGTACAAGAGTCAGGCACACGAAACAAACAACCATTCACTCTCTCACTCACACCTATAGGGACAATTTAAAGTTACCAATGAGCCTAACATGCATGTTTTTGGTCTGTGGGAGGAAACCGGAATACCTAGAGAAAACCCACGCATGCACGGAGAGAACATGCAAACTCACCCAGAAAGGTCCCAGGCTGGGATTTGAACTGGTAACCTTCTCGCTGAGAGGCAACAGCTCTACTAACTGAGCCACCGTGCTGCCCTGTGTAACATACTTATTTTACATAAAATAATAAATTTTAGCATATTTCTGTAAATATTGTTTGAAGTATAACGCTGTGAAAACAAACCAAATATTACATATTTAGCTGTCAGAAGATATGATATTTTTCTTGTTTTTGTGTAATTAAAAATGTGTTTTTAGGTGTATTTTCCAGAATAATTTAATTTTAAAGAGTTATGGAGATACAACATTGGTTCATCTTTTGAATTTATGTTTTTTTCAAAGATTATTCATATGTCAGCATTGAGTGACTTAACAAACAAACAAATGCATTCTACTGAAAATAATAAGGTGATGTTTATAGAAAAAGCTCCAGTTCATCGTGAGCAGCTCGACTATTATCAAAAATTAAAAAGCATCAGCACATTGTCCTGTGTCCTCTTCACTGACTTCCTGTCTCTGACAGAATCCAGAACAATTCATCTTCTGATACATCTGTGTATACATCTGCTCAACCCACACATCAAGTCATTCTCTCCGTTCCAACAACTCCTCTCATCTTCAAATTCCTGGAACTGAGCTCAGCATCATGGGGGACCGAACCTTTAGCTCTGCTGCTCCTCATCTGTGGAACACCTGAGGGAACCACAAACCACAGAATCCTTCAGGAAATTAATAAAAAAAAAAATGTGTTGTCCTTTTTATGGCCCTGACTGATTTCAGCAATTTTATTGTTACTGTCAACTTTTTTTGTTTTTGACCCTTGAAATGTAGATTTACAAATGCGACGTGCTTTTGAAATTGTTTGCATTAGTATTATTTATTATTATAGAAAAAAACATAAAAGTTATTCAGAAAGCCTGACTTTTTAAAATGGGTGTTAAGGCCAAATAAAGTTATTGAATTAACTGTAAGCTCAGTGACCTTTACAATAAAGTAACAAATTCTGCTCCTTCTCACATTAAACTTATCCAGAACCACAAAACGTGCTCAGAGATCCAAATGTATATTTTGCTGTGATTTACATTTTACTCTTTTTAAAAAATTGAGTTGTAAACTGTTGACAGTTGTTTGTAGTTTTACACTTTAGAACAAAAGAAAAAAAACTAAACTTTTATGAAAATGAGTGAAGCATTTCCAATAATTCTCAGTCATGTGACCTGACTAAGAATCATTGGATTTGGTACCTGGATGATTGAGCATGAACTTTTTGTTGCCTTGAACCACTTTGGCTGTGGCTGCGCCTGGGAGGAGTCGACGGGGGACATGACGCCCCCCAGAAACCATCTTAGCTCCAGCAAACTGGTTGGTCCACGTAAGGAGTTTATTGCTTGGTGGGGAAACAGTTAACTGGAACTCCTCTGACTGATGAAGCCCTCTGGATAGAGGGTGAAACGTCTCCATAAAAAAAGAAACTGTCCAGATGACCTGACTGAGAATTATTGGATTTGATACCTGGATGACTGAGCAGGAACTTTGTCACCTTGGGAAGCGTTTCACCACTTAACAGTGGAAGCCCATTTAAGCCCTTAGTATGTTTGTGGAAAATTAATAAATACTTCTTTGAAATAAAAATAATAATAATGCACATATTTTCATCAAGGTAATTTAATTGAACATATAAATAAGGACAGTTAAGCAGATATTTGATTGTTACTCATTAAATTTTCTCTAATAACCACACTGTGTGGCTGGAAGTTAAATAAAGTGGTAAACTGTGTACAAAGTATCAGAACAAACCGATTAGTTGTTCTCTTGTAGAAATCATATTCACACATATTGCAGAAAACTTGACTAGAAAATGGCTACTGTTTGCTTTTTCTATTGTGGTTATAAACATAAATATTTTTTTATAATGTTTTTGATGAAAGCTACAAAGAAGCTCGGCAGAGGAAGTAACGAGGCCTCAAAGCCTCAGAGGAGTTCAATGTAGTTTAAAAAAAGGACTGGGTCGAGATACGTTTTATTTTGAAAATAATGGAACGGAAGTTACCGGTTGTGGACTTTACCAACCCGGAAGTGTTGCTGACATTCAATTCGGTGAAAAACAATGCTGCTCGGCCGGAGTCTGTGTCCCAGGCTGCTGCCTCTCCGTCAGAGTCGCAACGTTAGTTCAGAAGGCACCGCGAGGGTGAGTTATTAAAATAATAATAATAATAATTGAGTCTGAGCTGCTGTTTGTTTCTCGAGTTCTGTGACAGAAGGTCATGCGGACTAAAACTAAACAGCGAAGGTTGTGCTGTTGCTGCAGAATCCGAGGAAACTCATAAATCACCTGTCATAAATAACATGTTAACACACTTAAAATATAAAACATGCACGCAGCATTTTTCAATATAAGCTACTGTCATGCAAACAAATTTATTTATTAAAAATCTTTTTTTTTTTTTCATTCAACCTTTATTTAGACAGGTTAATCCCATTGAGCCTCGAGGACTCATTTACAAGAGAGACCTGATTTCAACAAAGAATGATGACAACAATGGACAACAGCAACAACAATAGACAATCATAAAAGGCATACATATTATTATTATTATTATTATTATTATTATTATTATTATTACAAATTAAAATAAGATGGCAAAAAAAGTAGCAAAAACAGCTAATTATAAGACGAATGTAGAAAACTAAAAACAGGAACATGTCTGCATTGGTTCTTGCCAGGAAAGAAATCCACTGCGATTATTAATCTCTTATACAAGGATGTCCTGGGCAAGGATCAAGGTGCAAACAAGCCATTACATTTACAAAATGTACAAAATACTGTGTTCCTATTCACTGACAGATTAAATCAATTGAAATTATTTGCTTTAACATTAACCTTCTTTTAATATTAACAAAATTACTCTATTTTAAACTTTATGCTTTGTCATTTTTTACATTCTACACATTTTAGTTGTTTTGTTGAAGAGGTTTTGTTATAATTATGAATATTGTTTTTATTATACATAATTATAAATAAATAATAATAATTATGAATATTGAATATCCATCATAAACTGTTATCATTTGGTCACTTTGGGGGGGGGGAGAAGCAATCTAATTACAAAATTTTATTTAGTGCTTGCTTTATATTGAATTGTGGACTGATCAACTTGAGATTCAAATAAAAATGTCTAAATTTTACATGTTGTGTTTTTATATAAATACTTAAATGATATTAGTACACCCTAAATAAATATCCGTCTGCTCTGTTTTTGGTGCATTCATTAGCTTATGGTGTCAGATTTATAGTCCTCCACCTCCTCCTCATGACTGTCCTCCATGTTTTGTGTGTTTTCACAGAAGGCTGCTGTGGACAAAGTTCTCTCGGTCTTCAGGTCCATATGTGGAGAGGACGGTGTTTCATTGGGTGAAGCAGTCAGAGAACAACACGGCAAAGATGAGTCTGTACACAAGTAGGTCCCGCCTGTTTACTCACTTCAGCTGAGTTTTACAAGAACCTTTCTAAATATGTGCTAGAAAAGTGATGATATTCTTGTAATGCTACCCTCCAGGTGTCGCCCCCCAGACGTGGTGGTGTTTCCCCGCTGCGTGGAGGAAGTCAGCGCTTTGGCCAAAGTCTGCTATGACCACAACCTTCCCATCATCCCGTTTGGCACGGGGACAGGCTTGGAGGGAGGGGTCGGTGCTGTGAAGGTGAGAGAATATGTGCAGATTGGGCTCTTTCTTAGAAATATCTGTTATCATCATTATAATAACCGTTTTTATTAAGAAACACTTTGACTCTGAAATGTGTTTTTATATTTAGGAAAGAAAGTTGAAAATACAGTAGTCCCTCGCTACTTCGCGGTTCGACTTTTGCGGACTCACTCTTTCGCGTTTTTTCAACATACGATTGTACACGACAAAAAAAAGATTGTACATAACAAAAAATATATTGTACACGACACACAATTGTCAACTTTAATATTACTCACATGATTGGGACAGGACGGGATACTGTGCAGTAAACAGTTAACGAACAAAGATACTTCAGGCAGTCGCCACCGTTTTGTAGTTTTCTTTCAATAAGCCTATACTGTAACGCCAGTCCAAAGAACTACACAGCCCAGAAGCCAACAGTGCTTCTGGCTGCTGCTTTCTGCTGAAATGGAGGGAAAGTTTTGCAACGCAAGGCCACAGAACTGGCAGGAAAGTCGCAAATAATCCTTCAGCTTCCTGAAGCTCAGTTATCCACGTGCTCATCAACCTGGACGGGGCGGTGGACTTCGTCACTGCAGGGCAGGTCTGCAGAACAGGAAGTGAGCTCTACTGGAACTGAGCTGCAGAGCTGGTGAGTAAAATTTTGCAGTACTGCACAGTACATATATGTATGTTGTTAAAATGACGTAGGCTTAAGAGTTTAGAAGATTGAAAGAGTGTGGGAAGGGTTTATAAAGCCTTTATATATATATATAAATACTAAATAAATAGAACGTTCCTACTTTGCGGATTTTCACTTATTGCGTTGGTCACTGGAATGTAACCCCCACAATAATCGAGGGACTACTGTATATCAAACGTCTGCCATATTATAGTCAAATGAGAATAAGCTGTGTTGTGCATCTGTTTTATTTCATCCCTACTCCCTAGGGTGGTGTGTGCTTTAGTTTAAGGAACATGGACCAGATCCTGGACCTTCACCCAGAGGACTTTGATGTGACGGTGGAGCCCGGCGTGACTCGGAAAGCCCTCAATGCCTACCTGCGAGACACCGGCCTCTGGTTCCCTGTGGGTCAGTCACACGGTTTCACAACAGCACAGTAGAGGATGATGATGGCCACTTATTTACCTATCATCAATAGTTAGTTATCATTCTATGTTAAATATGTAACGAAATACAAAAAGAACTATGGACATTTTTGTTTGTTTGTTTGTTTATCTCAGATCCGGGAGCAGATGCCTCTCTGTGTGGCATGGCTGCCACCAGTGCCTCTGGTACCAACGCAGTGCGTTATGGGACTATGAGGGAAAACGTTATGAACCTAGAGGTGGTTTTGTCTGATGGAAGCGTTATACACACAGCTGGAAAAGGCAGACGCCCCAGGTGTGGATCAGAAATCACGCATGTTTCATCGATGCCCGGTGGGACTTAATTACCTTCATTTTTTGTTTTCTGTCTTCAGAAAAACATCAGCCGGCTACAACCTGACAAACCTGTTTGTAGGTTCTGAGGGCACCCTGGGGATCATTACCAAATCTACATTACGTTTGTACGGCATCCCAGAGGCCATGGTGTCGGCTGTCTGCTCTTTCCCCTCCGTCCAGGCCGCTGTAGACAGCACCGTGCAGATTTTACAGGCTGGAGTCCCCATCGCTCGCATAGGTGAGGAAAATTGAAGGTAAACAGGAAGTAAGTTGCGCTCAGTGTCTTCTTCAGAGGTTTTCGTGTCGTTTCCTTCAGTTGTTCTTGGTGCAGCAAGGCGACGGGGGGGGGACAGGTTGCTCAAAGGGTTTGTCTTGATTGACTCAGTGGAGTGTGAATGCACCAGCTGAAAATGTAACAAATGTTCCAACTTTGGTCCCCCCCATCAAACCGAGTCAACCAAACCGTCAGGTGTGAAAACACTTAAGCTGTCCTGGAGCACACTGAGGGAAGCCGATTCTCCCAGAAATCCTTGGTTTTCAGTTTGACATCATCTTTTCAGACTTCTGTTTTGCGTAACGGCAACAGATCGGCAACTTTACACACAAATATACAGTTGACTAATAAATATTTTCAGCATTTTAATATTATTTTACTCTTTACAACTTTTACTCTTCCAACATGGGAGATGGGTGAATTGTGAATTCAGCTTGAAAATAGAACAATATAAATTAAAATGAGATTTTTATAAAAGTCTTGCGTATTTGCGTCACACTGACATTTACCTCCTCGCGTTATTTTGTTCTTTCTGTGTTTATGATCCAGAGTTTCTGGACGATGTGATGATCGATGCCTGCAACAGGTTCAGCTCCCTGTCCTACGCCGTGACCCCGACTCTGTTCCTGGAGTTCCACGGATCCCAACGAAGCCTTGAGGAACAAGTCACCACAGCCGGTGTGTGAGTGTGCAGACAACCGCAGGAAGAAGTGTTTCTTTAAAAATGACAAACATCTTATCCCTTCTAGTGTATAAATTACAGTAGAGTTGCATTCGGGCCCAAAAAACCCGGCCCCAGCCCGTAGCCATCATTTCTGAACCCCACCCGACCCGACGAATTAACAGTAATTACAGGTCCGAACCTGAAAACCCCTAACATTTTAATTAAGTTTTGACTGCTTATATAGTTATTAACGGTCAGCGGACGCACGGCTGAATAAAAGGGGCAGAAGAGCTGAGGGGGTGTTTGTCCTTTCATGGCCATCAAAGCACATTATACCCCTGCTTCTTCCTGCATTCTGCATTATTCAGACACGGACCGCTCTGACATGTCTGCTTTGGGATCTCACCTGTTTGGGTCGTTAGCCACGTGCGTAAGCTGAGTGCGGGCTGAACGTCCATTTGGGCGATGGATCGCTTCCTGGCAGGATAGTCCCATCTGAAGCTTAACTGAACCTTATTTTACCTCTTTCAAGGCCGGTCAGCTCGCGGTGAAATGGCTGCATGCGGCTGTTGATTGTATGGCAATATGTTGCCATATGATTTGATTGTATGGCAAGCCAGGTTGCCATATAATTGGATTATATGGCAAGCCATGGTGCCATATGATTGGATTGTATGGTAAGCCATGTTGCCATATGATTGGAATATATGGCAAGCCATGTTGCCATATGATTGGATCATATGGCAAGCCATGGTGCCATATGATTGGATTGTATGGTAAGCCATGTTTCCATATAATTGGATTGCCAACCGCACGCGTCCACTGACGCAATCAAAAGCCCGACACCAACCTGGCCCGCCCATCCAGCACATTATTAGGGCCCGACCCAAACAGCTTCGGGCCCGGGTTAGAAATGACAGCTCTAAAATTCAGTTACAAAAAGGTTGAACTAAATTTTTAGACATTAAAAGTTCCCATCTGGAAAGTTTGAGCAGAAAGAGCAATAAATGTGGATCTTTTTCTTCAAACCAAATTATGGATGCAGACTTGAGGCAGTTAAATGATTATAGCAGGATGTTGGACATATTTAGGATTTCATTAGAGACATGCTTAGACAGAGTTTTAAACTGAGGGGATATGACGTTAACACTTTCTGTTTGGCATTGAGATCAGTTTTATGCTGTAACGTCTTCATACATATCAGATGGAAATTAATCCCAACAAAGTGACAGGCAGGCAAATAGGTTTTAATTTGTTGAATTCTGAGGTATTTATGGATCCGTGTGTGGTTTTTGCAGAGGAAATCACTCAGAGTAATGAAGGTTCGGACTTTCAGTGGGCTCGGGAATCAGAAACACGAAATCGGCTGTGGAAAGCCCGCCATGATGCCTGGTATGCTGCACAGGCTCTCAGACCAGGCTGCAAGGTAAACAAATCAAGATGTTATATCATGCAGTAAAACACAGAGGAGAGGGCAAAAGTAAAAAAATTAAAATAAAGGGAGAATAGAAGCTTCACCAGAGAGACCAAACAATTTATTTAAAGCATTTAGTATGCTTATAGCTGACTGGTGACATTTGTCCAACAATATTCACATAAGATTCACAAGATTTACTTCTGTGAATTTGAACAAAAGCAACAAAAAATTTAAAGAAAACCACATCCTCACGGAGCTGCAGATTAATTAATTTATTTGTATTTGCTGCAAAGAAGAGAAAAAAAAATGCTCACATGCAGCTGAAGAGACCTGAAATTATAGATGAATTATTTTATTTTTGTTTAATAAATTACAGCAAAATAAGTAATATCCACAGAATGGTGGTGCAGTTGGTAGAGCTGTTACCTCTCAACGAGAAGGTTGCCGGTGCAATTCCTGGCCGGGAGGCCTTTCTGGGTGGAGTTTGCATGTTGTCTCCGTGCATGAGTGGATTTTCTCCAAGTACTCCAGTTTCCTCCCACAGACCAAAAACATGCACGTTAGGCTGATTGGTAACTCTAAATTGTCTCTAGGTGTAAGTGAAAGACTGAATGGTTGTTTGTTTCTATGTGTCCCTGTGATGGACTGGAGACCTGTCCAGGGCCCACCTCTCATGCAACGACTGCTGGACATGGGCACCAATGACCCCCGCGACCTGAAAAGGAAGAAGCTGGTAAAGATAATGGATGGCTGGATAAATAGTATGTGTAAAGTTTGGAACTACGTTCGTTTTCTCTACCCACTTCTCCTTTTTGTGTCACGGGGAGTTGGTGCTTATCTCCATCAGTCACTGTGCGAGATGCGGGGGACACCTTGGACAGGTGGGTAGTCAGTCACAGACACATAGAGACAAATGAGACAACCATTCACACTCTCACACTTTAGATTTACAATTAGACTATTTAGAGTTACCAAATAACTGAGGTCTGTGGGATGGAACATGGAGAACAGGCAAACTCTACCTGAGTTGAACCCGCGATCTTCCCGCTGTAAGGCGACAGCTCTGACCACTGCTCCGCCGTGCCACCCCTTATGGTGCACACAAGAACAAAAAAAAACTTACTTATACACAGCTGAGTCATACATATAATCTTCAGCATTTTAATTTTACTCTGTAAAATATAAAACAACGTCTCACTTATGGAAGCAGTTTCTTGAATTAGAGCACATAAGACGCGTGCCGCCGTTTTACCCGCCAGAGACAGATTGTATAAAAGGTCAATAAAACCTTATATGAGCAGAGAAAGCACACCTGAAACAATAATCTGTAATAATCATAAAGTCACTTCCTTCAGTTCTGCATTGTTTAGAGCTCTTTACCTCCTCCTTGATCTTCATCTATAGTTAAAGAATACAGCTAAAATAAAAAGAGCGCATCACTTGAAGGAATGCATGTCAAGGCTCAAGATTCTTTCTAGTCATTTGCATCACATGTGGTACATGAGGTGGAATGAAATTGTGTACTTAAGGTCCCAGTTACACCCCAAAATAGCAAAACTATAAAGTATAAAAAGAAACAGTATACAAGGATCTAAGATATACACTAAACACTAATAATGTAAAATAACATGGTATGTTAAACAGCAGCCCGAACATGAGTCTGTAGTGAACAGATGGGTATAAACAAATATGAAATATGATATTGCCCACATGCCAGAGTTTGAACAAATTCCCATTCAGTTGGTGCCTAAAGTATATGTTATAAATGACTCTCATCTACTACTGGACCAAGCTCAGTATCTGTCAATTTGACTGCATCCTATCCATTTTTGTGTTTGCTGTAGTCAATTGGCAGCCATCTTGAATTGGGTTGACTTTTAAAGCTAATCCACAGTAGATGTTTTTTCAAAGCACTGTAGGGAATAAATTCTGTAAAGCTGACAGTTTGACTTAACTGCTTGAGCCAGAGTCACAGAGATGTTGGGTGTTGTGCCTTTTAACAGCGAGCCTGTGTGTGATAGCTCAGTGCTACACAAACATTTATTTTTCATCAACATCGCCCACTTGAGGCCACGTCTCGTTTTGTCTCGTTTTGTCTCGTTTTGTCTCGTTTTGTCTCGTTTTGTCCAAAGTTTTAAATATAAACACTGCAAGAGACAACATTTTGGTGCCATTCCAATACTGTGACCTTATCTTCTGTGTGTATGTGTGTGTGAAGGCTTACTCCACAGATGTGTGTGTCCCGTTGTCTCGACTGCCTCAGATCATCGTTGAGACAAAGAAAGACCTGATTGAGAGCAGACTGACAGGTGAGGGCCTGAGGGAAATATGAGTAACGCTAACTTGTGACTTCATTTAATTTCATTCAGTGTAATTTAGATTTATTACTCAACAACTAACACTGGGAGCCTGCGGTAGCTCGGTGGTCAGTACTGCTGTCTCCTTAGCCTGAGGCTGAAAGTTTGAGGACAGATTGCAGCAGGAAGGGCATCCAGGGTAACACGGTTGTCAAATCTTTCTTGCGAGCCCTGCAGAAGGGAGCAGCCACATAAACGGCAGCAATCACCACTACAGTAGTCCCTCGATACTTCGTGGTTCGACTTTTGCGGGTTTTTAACGCAAGATTGTATATGACACACGATTGGCAATGGGGAAAGACAGACCCCACCCCTGCCCCCTCCTTTCTTTTTCTGAGGCTGTCATAGCAGAGCAGAGACGCAGGTGTCTCTGCTCTGCTATGACAGCCTCAGAAAGCGATAGGGGGGGGGCAGGGGGGGTCTGTCTTTCCCCATCATTACTGCTCAGGGAGCAGGGATGAACAGATCAGATGAACAAATATAGAATATTGGAGAAACTGCTTAGGTGGAAACATAAGAGTGAATCAATAAAAATAAAAAAAAGAGAGTGGCTGAGTGTGGCTCACTCAGGTATAAGACAGACCTCCCCATCCCCTCCTTTCTCTTTCCAAGGCTGTCACAGCAGAGAAAGAGAAAGGAGGGGTTGGGGTCTGTCTTTCCCCATCGTGTCCCAGAGACACACAACAGGAGGGCGTGCAACAGACAGCTTTGGAAAAAGAAAGGAAGGGGGGGGGGGGGGGGTCTGTATTGTTTATTTAAAATAATCAAGTGCGACCCAAACAGCCTTTAGGAAGGAGAGCAGGAACTTCAGGCACGAGGCGATCAGACAATCGGGCAGGGAGGCAGAGACTGGCGCAGCGCACAGGTGCAGCAGGAGGGAGAGTGGGAGTGACACATATATATATAAATATAAATATATATATATATATATATATATATATATATAAATACTAAATAAATATAACGTCCTACTTCGCGGATTTTCACTTAACATGTGGGGTGTCTGTACTGTAATCCCCACAATAAGTGAGGGACTACTGTATATGACTACATATAGTATGTATGAAGTTACTTTATGGTGTAAAAATACTTCACAGTATTTTAAATTTCCATCTGATAAAAGAAAAGAAATGGCTAAAAGGCTCGTTCAGATCCTTTGAAGTGGAGTTTGCGTGTAAAGGCTCCATGTAATGAAATTAGCATGTTGCTAATGTTAGCCTGTACTCAGTGATGTGTTGTGTAATGTTTCTTAATTGAATACATTCACATTTAAAACACAAAAAGAAATGACACACTTTTCTGCTATGTTTAAAATATGTGTGGTTTGCTTCAGGGCCCATCGCTGGTCATGTGGGTGACGGGAACTTCCACTGTCTGATGGTGGTGGATCCCAGTGATCCGGATGAGCTGCACAGAGTCCACCTGTTCACCGAGAGGCTGGCCCGGTAACATCAGATATCTTTAAAATGGAAATTAGCATTCAAAGCTTGCAAGACTTCAGATTGTTCAGACTGACATTTCAAGAGACAAAAATATCTGTTCAGACATTTTCTGTCTGTTTACAGTTAGTTAAATCATAAATGAGGATTTAACGCTGATGCGTTTCTCATGTTTTTGTTGTATTCTTAAACCTGAACATGTTATTTTGTTCCTCTGCAGGCGAGCACTGGCCATGGATGGAACGTGCACGGGGGAGCACGGAGTGGGTTTAGGAAAGAGAGTGCTGCTGCGTGAGGAGGTGGGACCGCTGGCCTTCCAGGTCATGCAGGGTCTCAAGGACACCCTGGACCCAAAGAACCTGATGAATCCTGGGAAAATTCTGCTGCACGGAGAGCTATAGACTGTACTTTCATTTGAAGGGAATCACAGCTAGAAGAAAATTATAGCAAATGCTGTATAAAATCAAGCTACAATCGAATCAAAACAATAAATATTTCAAAATTAATCAAAGTTTAATATTTTTAAATTAACTTTTAATAATAAAACAGCAGGACTCGGACTTCTAAAAGGACATACTTGTAGTTTATGGAGAAATGTAACATATAAAACATTTTTTTAATTTTATTTTACAATTTTAGCATTTTTGCAGCTTGTTTTTAGCTGTGAATAAGTTGTACACTGATCACCAGATGGTTCCCGAGGAAGCGTGACTGAAATCACATCATCTGTTATAGATTTTCACAAAACTAACAAATTATTTAATGTGAACTTGGAAGTTTTTGGTCCTAAAGGTGGTCAAGGTACTTCAATGCTCAATTGTTTTAAACTACTGAATTAGCAACATTGAAATTCCATTAAAGTGGTTTAAGATGGACAGTAAAGAGTTCTTGCTGATTTGAGATCCAGTTTAGATCCTGATCAGTATCTCGGCTCATGCAGGACTTTGCTCCACCACACGGCGTCAGCAGCAACCCTCTGTGGGACAGATCTCATCAGTCATGTGAGTCTCTTTGAAATGGATAAAGTAAAACGTTTATTTCTGCCTCGGTGGTTTGTTACCAGTGTTGTTCCAGTTCACAGCCATAAACGGAACATTAAGAGAGAGAAAACAGTCCTGAAGTGTTCCTGAAGCTACAATAAAAATCCCTACGTAAGACTGAACGTGTATCTCAGTTTATAGTTGGTTTCTTTTTATTATTATTGATTTGTGAAAGCTTTCAGAGCCTGTGCATACCGACATAGACCACTGAGTGAATTATCTCGCTGAGGCCCCAGGGGCCAATCTGCTCCCTTATAGTGACAAAAATTACCCTTAATGAGCCCGTACAATGACAGAGAGCTTTCAAAAACACAGAGAAAGTGCATCCAAATCTAGATCACAACATGACAACATCACTGCCAGAGTTTTAATGAGAACTAGTTGGAGAGATCATATCTCTCCAGTTTTAGCTTCTCTCCACTGGCTCCCTGTCAAATTCAGAATTGAATACTAAATCTTACTTCTAACCTACAAAGCCCTCAACAACCTAGCTCCATCTTATTTGAGATCTTATTGTTCCGTATTTTCCGAATGGAGCACTTCACTCTCAGACTACAGGTTTACTCGTGGTTCCTTGAGTTTACAAAAGTACAATGGGAGGCAGAGCTCTCATTTATCAGGCTCCTCTCTTGTTGAAGCAACTTCCAGTTTCTGTCTGTGAGGCTGACACATTGTCTACTTTTAAGACTAGGTTTAAGTCTTTCCTTTTTGATAAATCCTATAGCTAGTGTTGGTTTGAGTTTCCTGAGCTATCCGTTACTTATGCTGCTTTAGGCTTAGACTGCTGGAGGACAAACTGACCACATTTCCTCTCTCTGCTGCTGTCTTTACTTGCTCTACCTGTTTGTTTGTAATTATTTATATCCTTAAAATGTTTTTTGTCTTTCCTCAACTCAGTTTCAGTTCAGTTTATTTATATAGCACCAAGTCACAACAGAAGTCATCTCAGGGCACTGAACAGAAACATTTGTATATAAAATAATAATTTAACACTATTTATCTGAGGAGCAGACTGCTTTGAATTTAACTCCATCACAGACTCTCATCTTGAGCAAGCACGAAGGCGACTGTGGAAAGGAAAAACTCCCTCATGAGGAAGAAAGAAACCTTTAGCAGAACCAGGCTCAGGACAAGCAGCCATCTGCTTCGACTGACTGGGTTTGGTAGGAACAGATACACAATGGCAGGTCAAGAATCACATGTTAAGATAGAAATAGTATCAAATGAAAACAATTCAATTTTAACAATTTATTTAAGGAAATTAGCTCAATTTGTCCTCCAGTAGTCTGTCTATAGCAGCATAACAAGCCAACCCTAACTATAGGATTTATCAAAAAGGAAAGTCTTAAGCCCAGTCTTAAAACTGGACAACATGTCAGCCTTACAGACAGAAACTGGAAGTTGGTTCCACAAGAGAGGAGCCTGATAACTGAAGATCTTCCTCCCATTCTGCTTTTGGAAACTCTAGGAACCACAAGTAAACCTGCAGTCTGAGAATGAAGCACTTTGTTAGGAAAATATGGAACAATAAGATCTTGAAAATACAATGAAGCTACGTTGTGAGAGCTTTGTAGGTTAGAAGTAAAATTTTTTATTAAATTCTGGAATTTACAGGGAGCCAATGGAGAGAAGCTAAAACTGGAGAGATATGATCTCTCCCACTAACTCCAGTTAAGAGTTTTTGTGCCGTGCCCTGAGACAACTTGGTGCTATAGAAATGAACTGAATTGAATTGAACTGAACATGAAGGAAACTGTCCAGACACATACAAAACAACTCCAAATCTGTCTCTTTGGTTTATTTTCTGTTCATCTTTATTCTATGCAGTATAGCAGCTTCTTGATGGGTTCTTTAAATGCTCTTGATGGGTTCTTTAAATGCAGACAGACAGTTTGCATGGCATCAAAGTTGTCTTGTTTGCAATCTTAATTTGTCTGGAATAAAATGGTTTACACCCTGCAGTTAAATTGGTCATATTACAGTTTTAAAAAGTCACATAAAGACATTAAAGTCCTCTTAAGTACTCCTAGAATTGTCTTGTTTCTCCCAACGTTTAATTATATCTTTATAATATTCTTCTAAGACTGTATTAAACTAGGTTGTATTTATGTTATTAAATCGTTTCTTCATGTTTTTATGAATCAAAGTGTTTGGGTTGGTGAGAAGCTGCCATTTTCTCTAAAAAAATAAATAGTAATATGTCTGATTTAAATATTCAGTCATTCCAGATGCTTCATTAACTTTAAAATGTCTTCATTATTGTTTGAAACTGCACTTTAATTATCTTTAAATAATCTCTTAACCCAATAATAATTAAAAAATAATACTTCCCGTCCATTTTTGCTTATTATTGTCCTTTCGTTACCATTTATCTTCTACATCTGACTTCTTAAGGACTTTGTCAGGCCCTGAAAGGGAATCACTGCATTCAAAAGATGCTCTCTTGCATTACTGCATTCCAGGGCTCCTAAATTTATATTAGCTCTTCCCAAGCTGATTGTGTCTGGTTTATTTGATTTGGAGATAGTTTGATTACATGCCTGAGCAGCAGAGACAACCATTTATAGAGCTTCTGTCATTATAGCAGGACAGATTAACGCCGTCTGTGTGACAATGAGCACATAACTTACCTTATTGGGTCGTGTCAAGAAACTGCTTGAGACAACACATTCAGCCAAACACACAGAATGAAGGATTAGACTGAATCATCTCAAACCAAACAGACACTAAGGTAAATAATTCACCATATCGGAGAACATTTGATTTATTTTTTTTTTAAATTGACCCCCCCTTGGCCAGGAAGTATCATGAGTCCCACGCCTTTGCTTGGAGTGCATTCTTAATTTCCATTAGTAGATCCCCATAAACATAAAATCAATGTTTTAGAGCAATTGGGAGTCTTAAGAAAAGTATAGCCTAAATATATATTTTATTTTCAACTCAAAATTAATCTTAGAATCGAGTTCGCTGAATAGAGACAACTGGTGTAAAGTTAATGACTTCAACATCAGGATAACAGGGTCTTAAGAGGTTTTATGCACAATATTTTATAATAAATATAAATGTAGAGGAGGACAAACTTCAGTAAGTTGAGTAGTAATGGCGCTTTTCTCCACAAATAACTGTAAATTAAAAATAAGAACTGAAGTAGACTTTGTATATCAGGAGGTGATTCCTTAACTCTCCTCGTACTGCTGGATTTTTAAATAACCTACATATGACAACATAACAAATCTCCTGAAATTATGTTTTTGGTTTTGGTGTGCCACCACAGGATTTTTTGTTTTTAGTAACATTCCCTGAGGTACCAAGCAGGTGAACACAACAGCCAATAAGTAAAGTAAAATAAGTAAAATTGAAGGTTCATGGCACTGTAGCCAACTCCCCAGGATATGGACGCAAGAAGAAATGCAACCCCAGGCTAATCAGTCAGATAGTGCAGGTGGTAGAAGAGATGAAGAAACTGTTCAAAACCATTCAAGTATGAGAAGGCCCTTTTGCCTAGTTCAGTCTGCACTGAGGGGACACTGCGTGTAATAATATCCTGAGGCCGCACGCTGTAGCTGCACTCACACAGAGACATGTAGGAAGAGATGTATGAAGGCAGAAGACAGAAGTGATTTAAAGATGAAAATGTACCAGTGAGAGAGTCTGCGTGAAGTTAATAATGTCAAGTCAACCAGTGAATACAGGGTGTAATGGTGGGTAGGGTAGTTACAGCCAGTTATGAATCTTAGCGCACCATGATAGACAGCATCCAACATCTTCAGGGTGCTTGTAGGAGCGTTCATGTAAATAATGTCACCGTAATCAATGGAGGGAAGGAAAGTCACAGATGCAAGGCAATTCCTAGCATTCAAAGTTAGACAGGATCTGTTTCTGAAAAAGAAACCCAGTTTAACTTTCAGTTTCTTTACCAAATTTTCAACATAGAGCTATAGAGAGATGTGAATCGACCAAGATACCAAATATTTGTAAGAATCGACTAAATCAATAGGAATACCTTTCAAAGATAAAATTGAAGGAAGATCTGCTGGGATCGACTTCCTGTTTGAAAACGACATCCCATTGGTTTTGTCTGCGTGTAGTCAAGTTTAAGACGGAACAAATCGGACCGGATGATGTCAAAAGCAGATTGCAAAAGCTGAAAAACCTTAGCAACTGTTTTAGCTCAACAATAAACAACTGTATCATCAGCATAGAAATGTAAGGATGCATCAGGGATGCTCTGACCTACATTACCTATGTAGATTGTAAAGAGGGTGGGTCCTAAGACTGAGCCTTGTGGTACACCATTATTAATCGTTAATTAACTGGAAAAAAGTACTATTATATTGAATACATTGCCTCTGATCTGAGAGATAGTGAACCAACCAACTGTGTGATCTGAGAAACCAATTTAGTTTGGTTGGGTTTTGTCCTGATGTCTTCTCTGTATCCTCGTGTTTCATGCACCCCTCAGTGTTCTTCCATAGCTCCTGTCTTACTTGTGTCCAATCCTAATCACTCCAGGTGTTTGTCATTCTGTCTCATCAGTGTCTGTATTTATTTGGCATTCAGTTGTGTCCTGTCATTTATCTGTGGATTGTCCACCACAAGTTCTGATCAGTGGTGTAGTCTACGCGATATGCACACATATGAAGTATACCCATTAGAAAAGCTTAAGAATTTCAGTATACCCACGTGAAAGTGCCCAGTGATGCATGACATATTAGCTTAGTGTGTTTTTTGTATTAGAATTAGAAAAATTAAAAAGAGTTATTCATTTTGTTCTGTTACTTGAACTAATTGTTTGAAAAAAGGGGCATATATAACAAGATTTTTTCTTCTTCTGCTGCCTTTCATTTTAAATCTCTTGTATATTTTTTATATTGTTATGGAATTGTTTTGTATTTTTTTAAATGAATAAACTTTATACCATACCATACATATCATTGGGCATGTGTCATTCACATGTTAAAAGGCAGGTAAATGCTTCTGTAACAATCTATCTGTATACAGTGCTTGTTTATTACATTCACTTATCCAGCGATTTATTGTATAATTCTGTACTTACTACTTAATACTTGAACATGTTTTGTTTTGATACTGTTTTATAAATTCTGTAACATGTTTTTAATAGAAAGCCAACGACTGTACAAAGTTTGGTGTGCATTTATTGAAATATAATCATCAGAGAAATTTGGAAATGTTCAATATGCCATCCATCTATCATCCATTTTCTTCCGCTTATCCAGGGTCGGGTCGCGGGGGTAGCAGCTTAAGTAGGAAGGCACAGCCACTCCCCAGCCACTTGGGCCAGCTCTTCCGGGGGAATCCCAAGGCGTTCCTAGGCCAGCCAAGAAACGTAGTCCCTCCAGCGTGTCCTGGGTCTTCCCCTGGGCCTTCTCCTGGTGGGACGTGTCTGGAACACCTCACCAGGGAGGCATCCAGAAGGCATCCTAACCAGATGCTCGAGCCACCTCAACTGTCTCCTCTTGATGTGGAGAAGCAGCGGCTCTACTCTGAGTCCCTCCTGGATGATTGAGCTTCTCACCCTATCTCTAAGGGAGAGCCCAGACACCCTGCGGAGAAAACTCATTTCGGCTGTTTGTATCCGAGATTTTATTCTTTCGGTCACAACCCAAAGCTCATGACCATATGAGGGTAGGAACGTAGGTCGACTGGTAAATTGAGAGCTTCGCCTTTTGACTCAGCTCTCTCTTCACCATGTCAGACCAGTACAGCGCCCACTTCACTGCAGAAGCCGCACCTATCGATCTCTTGCTCCATTTTTCCCTCATTCGTGAACAAGACCCCAAGATACTTGAACTCCTCCACTTGGGGCAGGACCTCCTCCCCGATCTGGAGAGGGTACTCTACCCTTTTCCGGCTCAATGTTCAATACGCTTCAAAATTTAACTAAATTGATGATTACATTGGACTAACCAGTGTATTTTGGTTTCTAAGCACCGTCCAAAAATGTAGACTACACTACTGGTTCTGATCCTCTGTCATCTCCCTAAAAAGGAAGTTTTGTTGCCCCGCCTGCTTTTGTTTTGTTTCTGCCATAATCAATTCAAATGACTTATTTTTATATTATATTTATATATTTATTTACAACGCAGAACACGATAAAAGCTTTGGCAGCGATGAGCCAAAACTGCAGCTTTTTTGACTTCAGTCACAGTAGTGTGATTTTTAAAAATATGTATAATTGTGAAAGGGTATCAAATAATGTATTCAAGTCTGTACATAATAAGTAAAGAATATCTGCAAAATTGACTTTGACTGATCGCTTTAACTGGATTTTGTTCTGTGTTCACTTAATGCCCATGGCTGTTTGTTGTCAAATGAAACAGAATAAAGGGAGACAACAACAACAACAAAACTATGTTGATTGGTATTTTTGTGCAGTTGAGCAGATGACGATCTTCTGTTTGTTTCAAATGAAAATAAATCCACTCCATCAGACACCTGCAGGGTCTCAGCACCTGCCATAAATGATCCTGAAATGCCCCCACATCTAATCCAGACCACCCCTCCTCCCCCCACCAGTAGAATCCAGGCCAATCCCATCCTGAGTGGTTCTTGCCGCTGCACCGTCTCCTGTCTCCGTTTCTGATCCGTGTTTGCGCATTGAGTGCGCCGATTGTCTGTCCTGGAGCAGCAGCAGTGGACCGGACCGGGCCGGGCCGGGCCGGACCAGAGAGAGGCTTCACTCTGACCCCGATCTCCGGGGGAGGGGGAGGGAGAGGATCGCCCACCCGAGCGGAGCGGACAGACAGAAGGACAGACTGAGCGCTCTGTCTGCGAACGACGTCACTTTTCTCCAAGAGCGCGCGCGTTTCCCCGCGCGGCGCAGACAGACAGCAACAGTTGTCACGATGTCTGGGATGAGATGAGGCGCGAGCGGAGGGACCGCTGCGGTGCTGCTGAGCTCCGGACCGGGCGGGATCGGCGCGTGCTGCCATGATCCAGCCGTGTTAAAGCCCACCTGGGACGGACAGCGCGGGGAGCGGCGCGCGCATCTGTTTACCCCGCGCGCTGGGATTTCGTTCAGCGCCCCCCCCCCCTCCTGTGTTTAGGTTTGATTTGTCTGTGAGGTGAGTCCAGACGTGGGGGCTGGCTCGGGTTCCGGCTCATGTTCGGCTCAGCGGGGGGACGGACTGTTGCGTCTGCGGAGAGTCAGAGCTGACGAGCCTGCTGCTGCGGAGACACCGACAGACAGGCCCGAGGGGAGGGGGGGCGACAGCCTGTTCAGGGCTCTCTCGACCCTTTGCGGATCGAGCCGAGCCCCCTCCCGTTTCCACCCAGAACCACCCCCCACCTGTCCCCTCTCCTGCCTTGGATGGGGGGAAAGCAGAGCACGGCGGGGCGGCCCCGCGGCGCGTTCCCCGGCGTCTCCTCGGATGACAGCGCGGTGCCACCCTCGGCCCACTTCGGCCACTACCGGCCGAGCGGCACCACCATGGGCCTGCGGAGCCGCTCGGTGAGCTCCGTGGCCGGGATGGGCATCGACCACAGTCCCGCCGTGCCCTTCGGCTTCTACACCCCCAGAGGAACGGACTCGGATCGAACCGGAGGGGGGTCCGGGAGCAACACCGCGGCCCCCCACGGCACCGGCTACCAGGACGGTGGGGGCGGAGGGCACCACACGGACGGGGTGCTGTATCTGGGGTCCCGGGGGTCGCTGGCTGACACCTTGCCCCTGCACATCGCGCCCCGCTGGTTCAGCGCGCACAGCGGTAAGACCTGCACGGACACGTCCGCTGCACGCGCTCACTCCCAGCTGGCAGGTCCAGTCTGAGGGATTAATCATCACACAACCCCCCCCACAGACACCAGACACCTACGGAGGCAGATATATTTGTTTGTGCCCTTTAGTTGAAGACAGAAAAACCCACAGAGACACAGAAATAACTTGTAAAAGTAACAGAAGAAGAAGAAAAAAATGCTCATGAAAATCAGCCAATCAATCAATTCTTTTGAATTTTGGTTCGACAGAATTATTTTGAAACAAAATAATAAAACAGGTCTTGACAAAAATATGCTTTTAATTGATTTTTTTTTTTCTGTAACTCTGACACTTCTGCACCATGTCCTCTGGTGTTTTGGCCCACTCCCTGTGAGCAAACTGCTCCAGCTGTCAGTCTTGACAGGTTCCTTCTCCAGATGTTTCAGCTCCTTCCACAGATGTTCAACAAGATTTAGATCAGGGATCAGAAGGCCACTTTACTGTTTTGCTCTGATCCATTCGCTCCTGTTTTCTGTTGTTAATTTTGGGTCATAATCCAGTTGGAGGACCTGCGGCTCCAAGATTTCTGAGACTGGGCAGCACATTTCACTCCAGAATGCCTTGATAGTCTTTAGATTTCATTGTACCCTGCAGATTACCATGTGCCAGATGCATCCAAGCAGTTCCAGAACCTCCTTTATGTTTCACCACCGGGTTATTTTCTTTGTGTTTCAGTTTTGGGCCTGTGAACACAAAGCTGATGGGATTCATTGCCAAAGAGCCCCAGTTTTGTCTCATATCCAAAAGACAGATTGACATTGATGAACCTAATCTCTTTGGAAGTTCTGAGTTCTTTGGTACCATTCGTATTATCCGTCTCTTGTCATCAATTTTTCTCTTGTAGCCACGTCCAAGGATGTGTTCAGCCTCGTGGGCCTTAAACTTCTGAATATATCAAGCTGCCTGGAGATGATCTTATCTTTGTCTTTCTTATCTGCTAAAACCACCCTGTCCTTAGTTTTCCGTGGTTCATGTTCAGTGTGATACACACCACGATACCAAACAGCAGACTGCTGCCTGACTACTACGACTGAAGACACGTGATACAGGACACACCTTTGACGTGTCCCAGTGGCCAAATTATTTTCTATCTTTTCCATCATTTTATCAAGACCCGTTTTGTTAATAATGCTGTTGAAGCAAAATTCAAAAGCGATGACGGATTTTCATTAGTTGTTTTTCAGGGAATAATTTCTTTCTACTCCAATGGGGAACTAGTAAACTTATCTGTTTGTAGAATATGCCTGTAGTAAGTCTTGGATTTTTACAAGGTGGTAACTGTGTGGCGTATGGTTCCAGCGGGGGCAATGGGGATATTTATTGTTTTAAACATTTAAGTTGTACTTTTTCACTGAAGTTTATGCATTCATATAATTTGCCTTTATCTATGAAGGGAAGTCTTGAAACAGTCTCTCCTGGAAATACTGTTAGATATGTTGGCGTGGAAAACCATAAAATAATTCAGCAAGAATGCAAATTCTAATGCAGTGTGAAAAGCTAAACATAATGTTTTAAACTCAACAATGTGCAAAAATATATGAAAATATACTAACTAGCTCACAGTCATGGGTGGCTAGATTTTATTTTATTTTATTTTTCAAGGGCCAGCTGCCACTCTGGGGCACCCTCTACAACCGCCTATGGAACCAGCACCTTGTTAACCTGCTGGTTCTGCTAAGATGCAGTGCTAATACATTTCGTTGCTTTAAAGGGAAGTTTAGTACAGAGGAAAAATGGTCAAACTTAATTTATTTCTTCAGTAACGATGCTGAACACTCATTTAGTCTCCCTCATGTGTACACGCTGTTTTTAGGCCACTTCATAGATGCGTGTCTGTATAAAGGTGCGCTCCGTCTCGACTGCCACCATCTGCAGAGGTCAGTCCTTGTTGTGTGAAATGACACAAATAAGCCTGTTGCCAAATCTGGCTGAGTCAATTAGGCCTGCGATTAGAGTGGAAGGAGGGCGGGAGGGATGGAGAAGGGTCATGGAAGGATGGGAGGATGGAGGCTGAGAGCCTTGCTACCTCCTGCTAATCATCAGATTACCTCCTGCCCACAATATGTCTCTGTTTTTGAGTGAACCCACCTGTAGCACACAGGATGGGTAACCTCAGCTGATCTGTTGGACCTCAGCCGACTCCTCGAAGTTCACGTGGCAAACAGAAACGAGAAGAAGCAAACGAAAATAAAGACATTTTTACAATGCGCTTGTTTATTATATTAAACTTCTGTACAATGGTTGATTTCTTTCTCAAAGTGTCAATGAAACGTGTCCGTTAGTTCATGAGATATTTTACAACAAACAATACATTATCGCTGCAGGTGATAAATATTGCCAAACGAAGAGACAAGTAAAAAATGTTGGATATGCTCTGTTGCAGATTTCCATCAGGGCAAGAATGGAATCAAGTTATTTAGATCGTCACAACTCGGGGTAAACACCTGACTTTAACCTTGGAAATCTGTCTAACTGCGTTGCTGCAGCAGTTTTTGTAGCAGTCACATCGACGGAAACGCTCAGAATAAAGTGACAGAGGAACATTATGAAGAACAGGTTCAGCTGAGTCCCCGGGCTCTCATTACCAAAGCCCTGACCGACTCACAGCAGGCGGACAACAAGTCAGACGTCAACATCTCAGCTGTATTTGTCCTTCCTGCATTGCCTAGCAACTCTCTGATGTGCTTTTATATCAGTGGGGGCAGATAACGAGGCTCGAGGAGGAGGGTGTCAGTGGAAAATTGGAAAAAATTGAGGAAGGTGCACATGTTCAATATTAAAGCTGAACACAGAGGTCTTCAGCAGATAATCTGCAGGAAGAAGTAGCGGGCTAACGTCTAAATCTCTTTGATTTGCAGCTGGACTGCAGCCAAGTTAAGGTTGTATGATGCGCTGAGATGAAGTTAAACCAAAAACCTCTTAAGATCCTGGAATCCCATTCAAAATGCAAAAACGTAGGTGTTTCACCACCATCCCATTCAAAGGATTCTGATGGTCTAGATATTGTTTAGTTCCGCAACTGTCTCCCACGTCTTTAAAAAACCACAAAATTACCTTAAATAAACATAATCCAACGTTGACAAAGTAATATAGCTTCAAAAAATATATACAAATATCTGTTAAAATATGAAAAATAAGAGAAAAGTCTTAGAAAAACGCAAGATATAGGCAAATTTGAACCAATCTGAAGCGAAAAACAAAATAAATTTGTAACCTTAAACTGCTGCAGAATATCTGCAAAGATCTGCATAAGAGGAAGAAATAAAATGATCCCACCTCTAGGAACTGAGAGTAAACCTGCATTCTGAGAGTCAAGTGCTCTGTTGGGAAAATATGGAACAATAAGATCTCGAATATAAGATGGAGATAGGTTGTTGAGGACTTTGTAGGTTAGAAGTAAGATTTTGAATTATATTCTGGATTTGACAGGGAGCCAATGGAGAGAAGCTAAAACTGGAGAGATATGATCTCTCCCACTAACAGTTAAGACTCTGGCAGCAGCGTTTTTGATTAACTGAAGACTTTTTAAAGAAATATTTGGATACCCAGATGATATTGCAATAGTCAATAATTAATAGTTAATATTAATAGTCAATAAAAAGACTAGTTCAAAACCATTTCAGTTCGCCACACTGCAACAAAACCACTCAAGAAGTTTTTAAACTCCTGGAAAATGACGTAAAAATATGAAAAGAGATAACAAACGGCTACAAATGTCTCAATCAATTCCATAAAATGATGCAAAATGACCCAAAAGGGACATAAATTCAAAATGCTCTTTTATTACCTCGGTGCTTTCTGGTGTTTTACAGATATGTTGCAACGGATGGCACTGTCTGTGTGTTTGGGAGGAACTTTCATATGTAATAAACACTAAAAACTTGCTTTTGTTTTAATTTGATGAATACAATTAGTCCCTGCTTTGTTGTGAGGTTGTTGGATCGGTCAGTTTAGTAGAATGGATGAAATTTAAAGCAAAACCTGTGCTTTGTATTATTACATAAGGAGAATAATTAATGCTTTAGGGCACGTTGGCTGTAATTAGGTAAAAAATGAATCATGAGAGGCAGAACTGACAATATTTGTTACGTACGTGAGAAAAGCTGAAGCTTCAGTGTTCTATCTGTCGTTTTTGGGTTCTGTGCTGTAATTGGTTATGAGATAAAATCTGATGTTGGCCGCGCTCGCTCAAATGTCATACCGTTAATCTTTAATGAAGGATCTGATGCATTCATGACAAGTGTTAACCACATCTACACGTCGCATGCTTGTTGCTGAATGGGAGTTTTAAGTTTGCTTGTTTGTTCTTGGAAACTTGGCGCTGGGTCGCACAATCCAGGGTCCAGCAGAACTTTCCATCGTCACAGCCAGGGGCTTTAAAAACTGGCTGCTCTGTGTGAAATTATAATATTTTCTTTTTCATGTCCTGCTGGCCACGTCTTTATCATCACCCATCATTAAAGGTGAAAGGTGCAAGTGCTTTTCCTTTTGTCGGTGTTTGTATATAGATTTAGCAAAAAATATTTCAGGCATTTCAATATTTCAGGTAATGCATTATCACATATTGCACATAATGCTTTTTGTAAAGGTTTAACCAAAACGGCTTCAGCTCCTTAATTTATCTAGAGATGTTCTTAATTAAAATCTCTGGCATACAAGGCAGTGATTTGCATTTTTTTTCCAAGGAATGATAGGCCTGTAATTAAAAAATGAGCAGCACTGAGGTCACTATTTGTTTTGCCTAAAAAGTTCAGGGAAATGAACTTCTAGAAATCGTGATTTGGATCTAAATTTAACTACTCTGAATCCCTCTTACAGATCCAGATGTCTGCCTCAGATATCTGGTTGTATCTTGTCCCGGGTCAAAAAGCTTCTTGTCCACACACAAACAGAGATGGGCAACATTTTTTTCCCCAAAGCGCCACATCAAGACGTTTAAAGCAAACAAAG